ACACTTATCCACCCACATACCCCAGGCGCATAAAATCATTTTCTGCCTTTCTCTGTCTCTCTCTCTTTCATGTTTCATTAAAAATAAGCAAGTTATACGCACTTATTTACCTACACTCACACCCATGCGCATATACAATTCTTCCCCTATCTCTCTCTTTCATGTTTCTTTAAAATTAATCAAACTATACACACATACCACATACACTTATCCAACCACACTCATTCCCAGGCGCACCCACTCAACCCAACCTCCCTCTCTATCTCTCTCTCTCTCATACTACTATATCCCGATCAAAGACTATTTTGATCGTATAGGAAAATAAGGATAACGTACATGTTCTTTGCTTCCTTCTCCTCTCTGTCCAATTTCGCGTCACTGGCTTCATAAAATGACTTCTTCCAATAAGTCTGTTGTTGATCAGTAATGGCGGCTTCAAAACCTGGCACATACAAGTACAGCCAATTCCAATAAGGCTGTCTGCAGCGTTTTGAGTGCGTTAATTGGTCACAGGGATTCCCCAATATTTCGCAATACCAACTATCAAGAATTTGCGACCACGCACTGCTTATCCATCCGTGAGTTATTTATCATACAATAGTTTTTGTTTAATCTGTTCTTACGCACCATAAAGCAGCATAGAAGTGGGCCTGACAACCTTCAGCGAATACTTATAATGAAGGATCATGTGATATATTTTGCCACATTTTTGTGATACACAAGTCATGTAAAACAAAAAAGGTGTGTATATTATACTGATAGTAAACTGACAAAAAATACCGATATGTTATATAAATAAAACCATACAAAATAACAATTAACACCGTTTCGTCAAATTCATTTTCAATTTCATCATCCCCGCCTGTCAAGTAAATAAAAGCCTGGTCGCACCACGCCTACAGTTAATTCCTGCGTTTAAGTGGAAATATTCCTTACTTCTTATATTATCTCCTCTCTCTCTCTCTCTCTTTCTTTCTCTCTCTCCCCTTTCTCTCTCTCTCTATTTTTTCTCTCGATAGCTCTCTTTCTTCTTTTTCGAACTCTACCCCCCCCCTCTCTCTCTCTCTCTCTCTCATTTTCTCTCTGTCTCCCTAGTCTCTCTCTCTACCTCTCTTTCTCTCCCTCTCAATTTATCATTTTTTGGGGAAACAAAGTTAGAATTGTCATGGGACCACTTGAGATTTCAAATATAAATGATAATTTTTTTTTTAAATCAACCACAACAAATGCAAAGGTGACTTTGTAAAAAAAGAAGTTATTTCTACACTCAATTCTGTGTTGCATTCGTAATATATCTAGCGCCACCTTGTACGTTTGAAAGGATAAACCGTATAACCTTACTTTTTCGTTTCACCGATCTCTACTCTTTTCAGCATTTCGTCCCACTGAAAAGCAACAATGATGAATGTATACAAAAAATCTATTTACATTTCATGATAACAAAAGCTAAACCACTTAATGCAATAATTAATAACTGTTTATAAAATGAGACAACACAAATGAATTATCACAACCTGTTGACCAGCCTCAGCCACTAAACATTTTTATATAAGGCATACATGTTTCATTTAAGAAAAGTAAATATGGCACAAAATAATGAAGCAAAGAGTATACGAGTTTAAAGTTAAGACAGTTTCGACTCGTTGGAGCTATTTGAGAGGGATTCCCAATAAACATGACATTAAGATATACCTAGTTATCAATTGTTCTATTTCTTAAAGACTGTTTCCAAATTAAAGTAAACGTTTTCAAGTATACACTGTTGGTCATAATGGTGGAATAATTTTGTTTACCCCAATTTTTTGAATGATTTTGACAATGACAAACTATGAAAATGTCTCGAAAGCTTCACGATATAACATATAATTATTCTCTCAATGGACAGGAGTTAACAAATGTAAAGTCTGAAAAATACTTAGGTCTTGTAATAAATGATTCTTTAAACTGGAACGACCATTGCACTGACTTATATACAACATGTAACAGGATCATGGGAATAATAAGACGGAATTTTGTTAATTGTCCAAAGTCTATTTTAAAAAGTCTTTTTGAATCACTAATTCGCTCACGTTTAGAATATTGTTGTACAGCATGGGATCCCTATAGAAACACACACAAAGAGAGGATTGAACGTATTCAAAAACGTTACGTAAGGATATGTGTAAGGATTGGTCTACGAGTTATAACGTGTTATTACAAAATGTCAAAATGAATTTATTAGAAAATAGACGAAAGTACCATAGACTTGTTTTTTACTATAAGATTGTAAATAACTTGATTAATGTAGGAGAAGTAAATAGGTGCACACGAGCGAACAGAATAGGAAGAAATGTTAATACTTTTAAGATGCACGTTCCATATGCCAGAACAGACTATTATATGAAATCCTTTTATCCCCAAACAATTAATGAATGGAATCAACTCCCACAAACAGTAGTAAACAGTCAATCGCTAAATACCTTTAAATCGGCTCTGGTAAAACATCTCAATCTAGATTTTTTAAAATCGAAGTGTCTTGCAATTTCTAACTTGTATTTCTGTTGTTGTATTTATATTGAACTATAACCTATGTCATACTTCGATATTTTATGTATTAGTATTTACTGTGTAATTATGTATGCCATTTTACTGTCCATATCTGGGATGCAAACTTGTATGGGTTTTTCTAAACCTTGTTTTGTAACCCAAGACATGTATATATTTTTATATTGTCTGAATAAAATCAAATCAAATCAAATCAAATGATTTATTCCAATAGATCTAGATAATAGTACTCGTTTGATGTTGTAAATGTTAATTTTTCAAAGATAACGTGATATAATAAACTTGCAATAGGGTTTTGGGTTATGTTTAGCGTTATGGTTAGTGGAAGTAGAGGTAAAGTGTTGGGTTCAGCTTTGAAGTTAGACATTCTATCGGTGTAGGGTATTGACCGCGGAGGAGTTGTCGCTGGAACATAATGTCGTGCAACCACTTTAGGAATATAGGCAATCCCTATCAGGGGTCGCCATAGATTCGTTCAATTAATTTTCAGCGGCACCATGGTGTAATTGTGAGATTACCGGGCTCAAGCATGTTCTATTCTTCTCTTCTCGATGATTTATCAAAACCAAAATTAAAACTGATATAATTATTATTAAGATAGTACAGTAGAAGGAAAATGTCAGCCATATGAATGGTGGTTTGGAAACTATTTGACATAACCGTTTAGTTTCGATTAAGAACGCAAACTTAATTCATAGTTTTCCACATGGAAGAAATACATAGCTGATGGAAAGGGAACTTATCGAGGGGGAATTGAAAAAGCCTACGAGATGGGTATAAGAGACGGAAGAGAGAGAGAGAGAGAGAGAGAGTGGGAGGGAGGGAGAGAGAGAGGGAGAGAGAGAGAGAGAGAGAGACGGAGAGAGAAGCACAATGAAGGAGGTAGACAGACGGAGAGTTTGAGGACGGGGTAGGGATAATGATATTTTGAAGGAACAAATGGAAATGAAATTATTGAACAGAATGGTGGAATATATATTGCTTATGTACTTTCTCACACATGCGCACTTCCGACGTGTCTCGACCTAACACACACAAAAAACCCAATAACTATCCATGTTGAGTGTCATCTACAAGGTGATATAGCCAATGGCTCGCAACATTTCGGCGGGAAAAACGTATCATACGGGCGATTTGTCGCCTCTCAAGTGGAAAGGGATTTGTTGTAAACACTGATTGAATCATCACTCGTTTATCCAGCAAAGCGTAGTGATCTCTTAGTGATGGTGGAATAAGGGTCAGTGATTCGGCTTTCTTTCTCGGTAAAAGGATCCATCGCTTTGCCTTAAAGAGCTTGAATATTTATACATCTACTCTGATACTGTCAGTGTGTAATTGACCCTAACAGTCGCTTGTTTGAAACATCGAGTAATCTACCGTCAGCCGGACAGGTCGAAAAGGATGTGCAGTGGACAACAAGAGAATTAATTACCATTAACTGATTGATGCATTTTAGGACGTGACCAAAGCTAGATGTTCAGCCCGACCGCTTGACCTATGTCGAAGAGAGGCCGACACGGACATCTCTGAACTTTACTCTATTTGCACTTTAAAAATTATTACACTCTCAACGAAGCGGTAATGCCACTTAAAACAGTTACCATGTTAGCTTTGGAAGCTCCTGAATAACATATTGAAGGAGTAAAAAAGAACAAGGGCTGAGTGAAAATGAAAAGAAACTAAAAATCATACCTTTTTTTTTTTGCTTTGTGCGACGTTGCATGACATAAAGAGGGTAAAATCATTATTTCTTTTTCAACACTTTGTAAATGATTATGGTATTTAGTTTTTCACATCAGGGAAAAGTCTTTTCTTTCTCCACATATATCCACGCATCATTTACTGACAAGATGAGATGGAATATACTGTCCATAATGATTGTGAGCAAATCAAGGAGAAACTGAATGCGGGAAGGTGAGGCATATTGTAATCTTTAATCCAATTGTGTCGCTATCCGTCGAAATAGAGTTCATTGGTTGAACAACGGCTTGGTTTTACCCTTGAATTATTTCCAGCATTTTGTCAACAACGTACATCTATTTGGCAAATATCTTGACAATGCCTCTTAATCCATTTAATCGAGTTTTAGCAGTTCGACTGACAATTTGCCTGAATAGGCGAGGTTAGGGTGTTGTATTCGATAGGTATTTATCATTTGGCTGGAATCATCTTCGGGATCGGGATAAATAGTTTGCTTCGTGTGACAACGAAACAAAGCTACTACAGTATTAAACAGCATATGCATATTCACGTAGCTATCACTGCTCGCAAATAAAACACTGGGTCTGTGCGAACCCACTGGTAACGGGTTGCTATCACATTCATACAAAACAAAATTGCCATTGCTTATTATAAAATTTGATCAAAAGTGCTAACGATCCAGAAGACATCACCGTAGACATAGTAATTGATAGTAGACGTTTGAAATCAAAGCTAATTGGTAGAATGCGACACAAATGGATAAATTTAACTCGACGACAGAGCTAGAGGGCGGATTGTCCAGCATGGTGCAAATCATCGTGGCTATCGTTGTCAGCCTCGTTGTCAGCCTCGTTGTCGCAGCGACGGTCATGGGGAACCTTTTAGTGATGATCGCTTTCTTCACGACGCGTCGATTACGGACTTACAACAACCACTTCATTCTTGGATTGGCCATCGCCGACTTCCTTGTTGGTGCTATAGGTATGCCGATGTTTGGAGTCGTGTTTATCATGGGGCGATGGCCGTTCAGCGCAACCTTTTGCGATATCTTCTCGTATTGCGACCACGCCTTCAGCCACATAAGCGTGGTCTCCGTCATGATCATTAGTCTCGATCGCTTCGTCGCCACTGTTTACCCTCTTCATCATCGCTCTCACTGGCGACGTCGGTCTCAGGCTGTCTTTCTCATCTCGATCGCGTTCCTGGTGCCCCTGATAACATGGGCACCTCCGACTCTTCTCTGGAACCACGTGTATGGTGGGGGCGGAAACAGTACCTCTGCCACATCTGAAGACTGTTTGCCTGACTACCTGGTGAGTTTTTCTTTCAGCATCGTTTCTCCGGTGTTGTTCTTTTGGATTCCGTTCATCATGACAACGTTTTTCTACCTCAAGATATACAGCATCATCCACGAGATCACGGAACGGAAGGGAAACTTAAGGACGATTCGGAACTTGAACAGACGCAGAGGCATTCTGATGAAAAGGTCACATGTACCTGGGGAACCTGACCTAAGAATTATGCCGTCCATTGTTAGTTTCAGCGAAGTGCATATACAACAAACTGATTCGGGGATCAGCAAAGATTATCTATCACAACGAAATTCCAATCAGAGCAGAGGATCCCTTTCGCCAATTTGTGACGAATCTCATTCAGATTTTGCCTTCGTGAATAGTGCCTTCGAACATGATTCAAATGACCACCTATCCCAATTTGCTCTGATCCGCGGATGGGTTTCCGAACAGTCAATGAACACATCTTGCACTGACGCCCGTATACCATTCCATCGAAGCTCTAAGAGGAACAGGTGTCATTCCGCCTCTGCAGTCTCGGACAGTTTGAGAAATAAACCGAGAGGCATATTAGCCAGACAGGCGGGTGAATTAGCATGTCAGATAAATGATGCAAACAAGGACAATATAGGCTTCGAGAACTATAGTGAGAGATTCGTTACCAGAGCAAGTATTCCCCAACAACTTCACGATAAAGCGAGCAAAATACCAAGTACAACCGCAGCATTGGATACCAACAAATTTAATGATACAATTATCCAGGACGATAGCTATTATGACCCCCGTAGTATTGGTAGGACAATGAGCCTTAGGAACAGTAATTCCCTTGAATCTAATCAATTAATTATCACTGAAAACCTATCTCCTGGAGGTATTTATGTGAACGTTGGTTTGGCCAAAGATGCGGTAATGGTCCGAGAGACACTATGCCAATCGAGGACTGATTGTCACATCCAGCTATCTGACCACGGAGGTGAGGTGACTCACTTAAATGGACATATACCAACAGAGATGTCTACCACTGATGCCGAGCCTAAAGAGACCAATGGCAATGATACCCTGCGGGAACTGATCGAGAAAGACGTCGAACCCTCGGGGAAGGCATCCAAACCTGGATGTTCCAAAAATGCTACGAGAAGAACATCTACCAAAACGACTCATTATGCACTTGAACACAAGGATCAAGGAGAAGCCATAGATCCCAAAGCGGAAGAGTTTAGTAAGGATAGTGCATATATTTTGCAACCACAAACTACCAACATACATACCAGATCATCAGGTGATCAAGGGACATTTTGTAATTATGACGTGCAAGCAGTGCCACTGGATGACATGCGAGAAGTACCTCTGGATGATATTGATGAGATCCTTCCGGGCCTGAAAAGCATTGTGTCAGTGACGGAAAGACGCCTAAGATGTCAAAACACAAAAGGTAAACTATTTTCTTTGAATTTTTTATGCTCAACAAAGGGTTACACCTAATAACGACGGGAACCGAATGAATCCATAGTAACTGTTTCAGAAATCTATGACATATGCAGCTAAATATCAAACTTTGAAAGGTAGGCTTTGCCTGCATATCATGTTACTATAAACTCCATATATTTTTATCATGAAAATGTTAAGATGTCTGACATCAAGTCGCCCTAAATTTCATAAATTAAGAAAAGAAAGGAGTGACTTTTTTGTTGTAACTCGATGAATTTCTGTACCGTATTATCCCTAAATGTCATACTCGTAACTGTTTTTGTTGATCCTACAAACCTAAAACATCTCATTGATTTGTATGGCTTTTTGACAGGGATTCGAACCCTGGGATTCATCATCATGGCCATGTTCATCACCTGGGTTCCATGGGCCGTCATTGTCATCATCCTCAGTCTCTGTGAGGACTGCATCCCTGAGATAGTCTACTCGGTAAGTCTGATGGTTGTTTCGCGCGGTGCGTCATTTACCTGACTTAACGATGCGCCAGGGGCAAGAGCTGCTTTGTACGTGCCACGTGCTCGTACAAAAAGTTAATGCAAAATGGACACTGCAATCATTGAATTGATTTCTTGCGTATGCGCTAATCACCTCCACAAGCTCGGTTAACACAGATAAACGCAATGATGCCTTGTGTAAACGGTCATAACAGACAGCGACGTCAATCTCTGACCGATGATTCTCTTTACTCTACTACATCACGAGCGTCATTTAGATTAAATAAAACGTGGGCGCTATACCAATTTAAATGAAATACTAATACTACCCCCAAAATCCGATTCAAACATGGCTTGTTTCTAATTCGATGCCAGTGATTTACAAATATTGCTAAAATGACATGATTTTCCGGGATTTTTTCTCTCTTTTTTGTAAATTACATTTTTATATGCGTCTGTTGGAAAGTGACATATCCCCAAATTTAGAGTCAAGCAAAACAATATGCTTACATGTCGGGACTCAGGCCCCCTACACTTTTTTGAAAAAGAGAAATAGAAAGAAAAAAAGGAAAAAAATAAAGGTGACCTGCCAGCGGCACAAAATAATGAGGTATCAAAATAAGCTCATCTGACCGTAATTAAATGCCTAAACCCCTGAGCTTGCGGGGGCTCCGCCTCCTGGACTCCACCAGGGGCTCTAAGGCGGGCCCTTGGATGATCATCTGACCGTAATTGAATGCCAAACAAACACTGAGCTTCTGGGGGCTCCGCCCCTGGACCCAACGCCAATTAGTTACCTGCCCGTATCACAAATAAGGTATTAAAATATGCTGGTGTGACCGTTATTAAATGCTTAAAACCCCTGAGCATCCGAGGGGTCCATCCCTGGACCCCTCCAGGGCCCTATGGCCCCTAGATGGTCATCTGACCTTTATCAAATACCTAAAACCCCTTAACTTCCGAAGACTCCGCCCCTTGACCCCGCCGACGATTTGCCCCTGGACCCCACGCCTATGTTTGCTCCACTCGCTTCGCTCGCTACGCACAATCTGATCGTTATACTTTAGCCGCCTCCCCCCCCCCACAACTTTGAAGAAAAAACAACGTTTCGCGTGCCTGCATGATGTAAGAGTGGTGGTGATGCGAATTTGTTCCCCCCCCCCCCCCACTAAATAAAAAATTTAAAAAGAAAATAAAAAAAAAAGTTTCTATTTAGATACTCGGTCATTGAGATTTCACCTGTTTGAATGTTCATATTATATTCCTTTGTATATTCTTTCACAATCGGATCGTCGTCAAATCGTATAGTGTGCGGTGGGGTTTATATATATAACTTCAGTTCAGTTTATTCAATTCCATCTTTAAAAACATTTTTACAAAGGTAATTTATAGTATGCGACAAAGTACTCTAACGCTATAACGTGATTTACCGACTCGAAAAATAGATTGGATTCTACACATGTAGTTGTATAAGGTTTACACGGGATAACATCGCTTAGGCGAATAATGCATTATTATGACACATTCAAAAACTGTTCAATGACGGTAATTAAGCGTTAAAACACGCTCTACAATGCATGTAGTTTCCTCTGTAGAAAAAGAGAAAGTATATAAGAAGGAGAGGGAGAGGGAGAGAGAGAGAGATACATCCTCCTGTGTACAGTGCTTGTAACTTTACCAAGACTGGGCCAAATTTCTTATCATTTTGATGATTCCAGAACCTTGCGATACACACAAATTCTTATATGCTAGATGATCAACCTTTTCTGGTCGATTCCACAACATTTCTTTCAAAATCAACCGCTTGACCAGAACTCAACCTTCTCTTGACGCACAATTTGGATTACCCATGCAAGCATCAACGAATATATACATGTATGTACATCCAGAAAGTGCTTGATTAGGAAGTTGATTTTAAATTACAAAATCGAAGGATGGGATAACTGTTGACGTTATACTAAAAGCGGTATTCTTTAAAATGTCAAGCTGATAATAAAAGAGGCAGCAATCGAGCCAAAGTTGAAATAAACGGAAGTTTTTCATTGCCATTCACAAATATAATTTGTAATTCGGTATCACCGCCTTTTTTAAATGGAGTTCCGCTCTTGATGTAATGGGAAAATATTTGTGAGCGCATTCAAGAGGACAAACCACATATCAAGGAGATGACCGCTTTTGATATCTCTGATTAAGAGGTTTGCAGATGTGTGTTTCGTATTGACTCACGCTATCTCCACCATATCAAACTGAGTGCGCTTTTAAACTTCCATTATATCCATTTTACTGTATAGGTAACTGCATGTATACACCTAAAGACACCGGCAAATTGTCTTCTTTTTTAATATGAAAAGTGAATCAAGCTACGTTACTACGATTTCTATTAAAATTGTGCCATATGTCATCCACGTATGGTATCATATTTTTCCCATTCATCTTTTGTTACGAGATGACCAACCTTTAGCTGTTACTTGTCATATTTCGAATATGAGGGTTTTTGAAGAGCAATACTTTTCAGGGGAGATTTTTCTTTAATATAATGGTGAAAGGTGGATTGTATTAAAGCTTGATGGTGGGGTTAATAAGATCATCTTGTGGTGAGTGCTTTTCAAGGTTAAGTGCTGTTTTACGAGAAAAGTATTCATTTGACACGACAGAAGGATTCACGTTTTATGGTTGTTATATTGGTGTCATATTTTTTGCTGTTTCACTGTCTTTCATCTATTGCAATAAAAGCTTCATGGAAAGTGCACGATATCACTACCGTTTTTTTCATCGTCTTTTCTCACTTTTACTCCAACTCTTTACTACATCTCTCCCAGTGATTTTCATTCAGTCATTCACTTTTCTTTAGTTTTTGTTTTCGCTCTCTCTCTCTCTCCCCCTCATCCCTCCCCCTCTCGCTCTTTATGTCTCATACATACACACACGCACACACCCAGATCTTGTCACACGCGCGCGTGCACACGCACTCACCCACGCACTAGCACTCACCCACACACTAGCACTCACCCACACACACGCACGCACTCCCTCATACACCATCGTCGTTGTTTCTCTAGGAATGGGGATGTGTATTAGGAATTCCCAGGTGCTAAATCAGAGAGTTCTATGAGTTTTCATCATCTATAGTAGATATGAATGTGCTTTTAGAAAAAAATTTAAACGGAAATTTTGCATCGAAGTAATGCGTTATCTCCCCCAAGACATAATTTCATTCGTTTCAACCATATTTTAAAAAAAAGTACATGACTTGGGTATGCACTATAGTTTTGTTGTGTACAGAAATAATCAAGCGTGTGGTCCCTTTTCAGCCGAGCAGCCGATGCTGAATTTGCACTTAATACTAACTTTCAAGATTTTTTTTTTTTTTTGCGATTGAAACCAACTTGCAGATACAATGACAAATTACCCTAGTTACAACCACGGCGTAGGCATTGAAATACCCAATAAGATACAAAACTTACAAGAAGACATCTTTATTGCAGTTCCATTATGAAACAAATTTTATAACTCTGAAACTGAAGTGACATATCATTTATTCAAAACTGATGCAGATTTACCATTCAAACACCCTGGCTCCAACATGTCCTGCATGTTAAGGTATTCATATTCCAGTTGGAAACGCAGTTATTATTCATTTTAACAAATTAATGTAGTTTTAGAATGTGTTTTTTTCTTCGCACATGCACCTATAACCGGGGAAACAAACTGAGCGAGAAGGGACTAATTCTGTTTGGTGTTTGACACCACGTTAATAATGATAATACTGTTTACCCGGGGAAGCCTTGTCAGCCTCGACTCTATGTACCCATTAACACCTGGTTGGAGCTAGAGTAGAAAATGGGGACTAATGTCTGAATGAATCGTCTGACGGTTGACGAGATATTTAGAAGTTAGGCATGGACACACTATCGAAAAACAACTATCTAATTATCAAACGTGTGCCTTCATGATCACGTTATAACCACAAGGGCTTATAAATCATGTTGTTGCCATAGATACATACATCATGTTTCCCATCATGTTTTGATACCATGCGTGCGTTGCATTTTGTCCCGCCAAATGGAGGACGACAACAGATTAATATCCCGTTTTGACAGTTTTCATGTTTCGTGGTGCAGTTGTGGACTAACGTCACACAGAATTGGATTCATGAGTTACCATAACAACCGGGAAGCACTTTGCTGCTCTAGCTCTTTACTGGGACGTTGTGGTGCTATAAAACTGATTGATTCTCATTCTTCAAACCTTTTACATCTCTCAAATCAACCAAAATGATGATGATTTATTTCTTCAAGGATAAATGTCGTGCTGAAACAAAGAGGACGTAAATCATGCATCGAACCAATTTACGCGTTAAATGTTGCAATATAGGTTTACACAGCCGAAACAAAGATTAATATTGATCAATCTTTGTCCATGACTGCCATTGTATTTATTGTCCCATGGGGTAGCTGCCCGGTGACGCGGGGCATATTGGGTTGGAGGGGGCTTTAATACGAGGATAGTTGCACAAGATTTTGACCTTGTATATCGCTTTAACATTAAAAAAATTTGTCGTGCTTGACCATACTGGGTAACCATTTACACCTGGATGGAGAGTGGCCAATGTGGATTAATGTCTGTCAAAGGAAGGGATTCGAAGCATCAATCTTTCGATTGAACCACTTTATCACGAACCCTGACAATTCCTCTAAATATTGAAATGCAACTCAAAATTGAATTATTTGAAAGCAACTAGTCAAATTGAATATGTCTTACAGAAAACATAAACTTTTCTTAAACATCTTTAACACTGCAGGATCAAAGCACATGTATTAAGTTTATAGTATACAATGAACCCTTGAGTTTAATTATTATTTGATCAGTATGTATATAAAGGAACATCAAATTAGGCATTAATTAACATGATCAAATTGGCTGTATTCATTATTGCTCAAAGTATTTAAGTAAATTGCTACCAAACAGTTTCCAAGCATTAAGTTACTTGATATAAGAATTATACTAATTAACTTCAGATGTTCTAAAACGAGAGATTGAAAGAAAACGAAAGTAAGAGAAGACAAGACAAGAGAAGAGAAGAGAAGAGAGAGAGATACAAAGAGACAGAGAGACAGAAAGAGAGAAGCAGAGGGATAAAAAGAGAGAAAGAAAAGAAGGCAAATCCTGGTATGAAATGTGAACTCACAACCTCGTGACAAAAATCTTTTCTTCTCCTACAAAACAAAATCGTTGCTAAAAAAATTAAATACAAGAAAAATACATTATTATTCAAACACAAAGTTACGAAACTTATATCTTCTCTTTCTCTTCAATTTCTAGATCACCGTTTTTCTAGGCTATATGAACAGCACGGCAAACCCAATCTGCTACGCTCTCTCCGATCCGAAATTCAAGCAGGCATTTCGTCGTCTGCTTCGTCTAGACTGCTTGAGATCGAAGCCGAGTTCGTCCACGGTAAATCAGTCGATTACATCATTTTGAGCGATGGAGTGGAAATACATTTGATGGTAATAGGCCCTTCACGAGCAGAAATCAAAGAAACGTTTTAGTGCCACACCAGCCGCATATATAATCTCCCATTTAACGGGATAGTTATAGGGATTTGATATCATTTAAAGCCCCACTGCACTATTTATAGCTACTTGCGCTCTCTACATAGCAAACAATGCCAAATCGGTGACCATTGGTTCCCCATGATCCTCTTTTTTTAATGTTAATTGAGAGCTTATTTGATGAGATAACCACCTGTCAGTGACAATGCAGAGAGGTCTAATCCCTCCAGGCCAAACTAGTGCGGTGGGGCTTAAAATGTGAAAGAAAGTGTGTAAAAAAAAGTGTTTTGTAACAGATAAATGTAGCTAAATAAGACTAGAAACGCTTATTTTACCTATGAAATTAATTTGTGTTGCACGAAGCCACTTTTCTCTTAATTTGAGCCTTTTGTTTTGGCGATGATAGGCAGACAAACAAACGAATGTGCCGATTCGCTCTTGTGACAAATAAAGCTTGATGAAGTTTGGGGAAAATAATTTTTTGGGAAGAATTACAAGGTTATTTAGCCTTGACACGGATAGCCTACTATTTAAATGAATTTGTGTTGCACGAAGCCACCGCTGGCTTAAAAGTACTATGTTCCATTTGCAGCCAACATCAAATCTGTAGAATTCGGTTTGCAGGTATTATGAATATATACGTATGTCCTATCTGTGAATTTAAACGTTAGCAGTGTCCTAGTGTTCAAATTATGCAAGGAAACCCGTTTACTTTCTAGACTTCACTGTCAGACACTATTGAATGACTAACTGACTGAATTCATTTTTCCGGTAATAACATACTTAAAATGAGCTGCAAAGTTACATGAGCATTTGTCTACATTGATAACGAACTTCTTGTAATGGCCAAAATTAGACTGATTGAACCTTTTTGCATCTCATAACGTATACCATTCGTTACAAGGGTCTAAAAAGGACTATTTACTAAAAGGATTGCAATCCTAAAGTCGATTCGACAACCAACGGTCGTTATTTTCCCACAAAAAGGACATTTCCAAGCCATTTCGTTTTGAGGGAAGTTCCAGATTAGTATTATCTTTCAAATGCCGGTGGAATTTAACCTTTTCATTTGTGTAGTTTGCAAATGGGACATTGTACCTTTAATTTGAGTCTATTGTTTTGGCGCTGAACGGCAGACAAACAAACGTTTGTGCCAACTCGCTCTTGTGACAAGGGAAAGCTATAAATTGATGGAAAAATTACAAGGTTATTAAACTTTGACAGTCGAGATAATCAATGAGATCATGACACAATAAATCTGCTGATTAGCAGTTCGGCAATGATGCACATATTAATTGGAAAAGACATATATATTTCTCATGACATATCCCGGCTGAGTGATGGAACAGAATACCCCATAAACATGATAGATGGATATAGGCGCTTCGTGAAATATTGACCAAAGTAAAAGCAATACCAAAATAGAGAGCCCCTATTAGTGAAAATGTCACGTATGAGTGAACTTTGAGAAACCACCAAGGTTTGAATTTAAGATTATTAATGTCACGGCAATCTGCTAAAGATCACTTCAATAATGATTTGTTATGTCATACACGTTAAACTCGCGAACTAACCTCAGCAAGAAAGAGAAAATATATTAAGTGGACACTGCACAAAGTTCAGCTTTTCAAATAAATATTTTAATAAAACTTGTAAACTTATGCTCTGTACTGTGATATGCAATGAAAATCATACCATAGCCTTTTAACAATAAATCAGTTTCTGAAAGAAAATTGCAAAAAAGGGGCATCTGGCCATTCAAATTTCGATGAGCATTAATTGAAGGTATCCTATGGCTCGTCCACTATCTTTAATGAAAAGAAGAGGCATCTTGATCGTGCTTGTCAAAACCACAAGCACGATGTCCTAAAGATGCACAATTCATGATCATTAACATTGGAAGCTCCATATGCCTCATTTTTGCAATTTTATTAATCTGGCCTTGTAACGGTGTTATGAAAAATGCTCACCCAACCTTGAAAGTTCGAAACTTGATTGTAATTGACGTTGGTAGAGCATTAGTTCTTCTTTAATTCGATATATATGTTATGATAGCTTATTGATTGTTTGTATGAAAAATTTGAATACTAGAGTGTCCATTTTCTTTTTTCTGAGTAAGTTTTACAGGCCAAACATAAGATCTCGCAAATTAATCCCTTTTTCTTGATGCTCATGATTGAAAAGGACGTATTTTTTCATGAAAAAATGTCTCAGTTAAGCGATAGAATGGGATACTCCTTCAATACAATTCAACTCTTCATAAAGAATAGGCCTGAGAAGAAGCAGAAAGATCAGAGAAATATTAAAAGTTTTCATTTGACATGTACGCTTAGTGACTCTTAGAAGAAAGGAGCGAACGAAAATGTGACGTATAATGGAAGTTCGAAATAATTTGGACGAAGAATAGAAATTTATCAAATTTCAACATCGAAATCACTAATAAGATCATGACAAGCTGAATCTACTAATTGACAATTCGGCCATGATTATGTAAAGCCATACATGGAGAAGTCTTCAATCATTATGTAAGCATAATATTTCTCAAAATGTCATTTCCTGATGTTTATGATTGAAACAAACATATTTTTCTCGGCTTACGCTAATTTAGAAAAGGAATGGAATGCTCCAAGAATAGAATTTAATTTAATTGAATTTTAATTCATAAACAACTGGAGTATAAGTAGTAGCATAAAACTATGAAGACATTTTCAAATTGTATCAATTAGTAAAAATGTGACATGTTAAGGTCAGTTTAGGAACTTTCTAAAAAAGACAGCACTATGTAATATCAAACTTTGAAATTCTAGATCATTAATGACATGGGAAATCTCTTAATTAGCAATTCAGCCATGAGATGTGATGCCATATAAGCACTGTTTTTAATATTATTATTATCATTATTGTTATTGTTACATCATTACATACAGGGACATGTTTCCAATTATTGTGTAGGCCTTCTTATTAGACCTCTCAAAATGTCAATTTTCTGAATCTCGTGAAAGGGACATATTTTCCGTGATAAATAACGATTACAGAATCTTGTATACCTTCTACTCAAAGTCTATTTTCAAACTAACATAAAAAATGAAAACTTAAAAGTTGTCTCATGAGAATTCGAGCAAGTTAAGCGAATAGATCATTCTTCTTGGATGACATTGCGGCATTACTAAATTGATTGCAGCATTACTAAATTGATATTCCCCATGGCATGACAATGATCTTCACCTTCAAAAGTCTTTCAATGTGTTTTTCATTTTTCTCAAACAAATAAATAAATTAGAAATTCGTTCCTTTCAAATCACACTTTACAAAGACTAACTTTCCTTTTAATAAAAAGGAAATCCAGTTGGCATCAAATTGGCTTTCAAAAACAGGAAGATGAAAGATTTAAAAAGATCTGCAGTGGTAAAGAAAAACGTTAAGTTATGATTTTTTAAATGGGATCTATATCAAATACAAATTTAAAGTTCTTAAAATCTCTTGTGAATAGTTCTTTTCTTCATCTAACAATCTCGCAAAGACTTTTGAGAAATCGACTCGAGGGAAATTACAAAAAAAAACCTACTGTATATTCCACAGAAATAGCATTGGGATTACGTAATACGTCATTACCCAAAATAAAAACCCAGATGGGAAAACAAAGTTTTTCATTTGATGGTGCGGCTTTCTGGAATACTTTACCTAATTAAAAAAAATTACCAATCAAATTCTTCGTTAACTCTTTTGTTTGGCGCTATAATAATTTAAATCATTGAACTGTTCCATTGTGTTGTTTTTGTTTCTTTTCTTTTGTTCGAAAATGTTGTAACTTAATTCATTTTGTTTCGCTTTGTATTGTTTGTTCTCAATATGTTTGTAAATTTGTATTTATGCTGTAGGGCCTCCATGGAAAACAGTATTTAACCACTGATGGAGCCACCTTACTAAAAAAAAGACTAATATATAAATAAATAAATACATTTTCATTGTCAAGTTCGCCAATTTCGATCGATGAAAATTGGTGACGCACAAGGATGTCGAAATTATTCCAGGTTGATTTCTCGATAGTCTCTTCCATTGTGTTCTTTGTAGTAAATCTCTTTTGATGAATTTCCAGGTTATTAACCAAAAACTTGAACTATACTTGTGCTCTATATATGATATTTGACATATTAGTATACGCACTCGTTGTAAGATGTAGATGTTTTTATCAACATGTTCAGAGTAAATCCTTTTTATAATGAAGTAATCAAGCTTGACTGTAAGTTCGTTGGAGAAAAAAAGAGATAATAAAATCTTGTCAACACAGTTGTAAACCCTTAACCAGAATCATAAAGTGATGACATCACTAAAAATGATTTACAGAGTCTCCTCTTTCATAATTATGATTAAACTTCTGTGCAGTTTCAAGCGGTCTGTTTTTTTCTTCATAAACGGGAGACGCACCATATTACTGTTTGAAGCTTTGCAACTCACTGACGCACTTTAAAGGGCCACTCTAAACAAAACGGGCTAAAAATGAACAAAAAAGACATGTAGAACAATTTTTGACGGATATTCCGAACATGACAATAATTTTTCTTAGAAATCATCAATAATTCTGGAATTTAGCTTTAAAAATGACAACTCAAAACGCTCAGAAAAAAGCCCAGTCTCGGAGCTGTATTAGGCAACTTTTTATGACGTCATTGCAGGAGCCTCTCCGCTGAAAAGGAGGGTGATTTAAGCATTTAAATGTCTTTAAAAGGGCAAACTATGATATTAATTGGAGAAAAAAAGAAATTTATCCGAAAAATAATATGCACTTGATAATCCCAGTACATTTTATTTATGAATTACAATGAGATTGTAAGATCCTTAATTGTAGGACAAATCGGACATGCACGCAATGCGGACGTCAAATGCTTCATCAAGGCCACGTGACCGTATTACCTTTTTCGAGGGGCGTAGCCCAGCAAGCGTGAGATCTGTGAAAAATGGAAGGTGTATATTATTTTTTGGTCAATTTAGACATTTCCGGAAAAATCAGAGGCTGGAATATAAATAAGTAGAGGTGTATTCATGTTTTGAAAGGCTATGCTAGTTGGGTTAAAGGGGCCCTTTAACAAAATGAATTAATTCATTTTTAGTTCATCATTATTTGAGAACGATCACAGAATATAGCAATCCATATTCAGCCTATTAAGCACGTATACAGGAATATCTCTTTAATCCAAAGCAACCGTATGGTATTTGACTGTGATAACAGAATCAATTCTGATTCAATAACTGGAGCGATTTTCCTAGATCTTGGGAAAGCTTTCGAAATTATACCGGAAAATTATCCTACCTTCGTTTACGGAGAAATTATCACGAAGCGGGAGGGGGGTTCGAGCGAGCGTAACGAGCGAACCAAAAGGCACTTCATTGTGGTAACATTTTTATTATATATACAAGTAATGTTACATTTGGGGTTTTTTTCGGTGCTCGAAATAGATGCCATTCTGGCATCTTGATTCCTGAATATTACCTGAATATTGTTATTTTTAATTTCTTGAAGGGGAAGGCCGGAACCCTTCATACTCCTCGGTTCGTACCACTATACCAATTATCTTAATTGTGTTCCTGGGATGAATATTGTAACAAAATAAAAATGACATGAATTACCTTCCTGTGATATATTTATCATCAACTGTGTTAAATTTTCACACCGACAGAAAGTGAAATTTCGTAGGGGGGGGGGGGGAATGAATTCATTTCAACTCAAATTGCATTAATTATTAACATGAAGTAGCCTGTAAATCAAGGACCACTAAACAACGCTTTGTTAATGTGGATGACTATCAACGATGGGATTCATGCATGTACATGAAACCATGAATCCATTAGATACAACCTTATTAGAGAATAATTAAATAAAAACCGATCCAATATTACCATGATTATACCTCAATCACACCGCAAAGCCATCTCCGAACCAATTGATAACTACCAAAGATTTACCAATTCGGGTGAATGTATTTTGAGGGAATCACTCTATAGTCTGTCATGGTATTAGGCTTGCTGGTGTAAGTAGGATTCTTGGTTTGGCCTTGATGCCATTGTCGGGTGCCATTGAAAGGGCTCTATAATGTCGCTCAACTATTGCAGTTGACTGCCATTTTTATTAATATGCTATCATTATTTTTTCTAGTCGTTCTTTAATTCTTGCATAATTCAAAGGGTAATTTAAAATAATGACCTAATTACACTGTTGGTCATAATGGTGGAATAATTATTTTTACCCCAATTTATTGAATGATTTTGACAATGATTTATTCCTAATAGATCTAGATAATAGCATGCATTCTCAGATTTTATTGAATGATAATTGGGGAGTGTTTGTTTTGCGTGATTGCTGAAGCATGTGTGTGCTACAATGCTAATCAACTAGGGGACCTACGTCCTTAAGTCATAACTGACAGTAATGGGGATTAATACCTCATAAAAGGGCACTAAAATAGCACATCGACACCGTTTTGATCCTGGGGGCTCACAGTAACGAGGCCATTGCTTAGCCAATGAATCAGGACTGTACGCAGCGGGCGTTAGGGTACGTCGACGCCCCCACAAAAAAAATCGACACAGCAAGCCTTGCTTTACTGTAGGCCCCTCCACTATACTGTATACAATGAATGATGAAATATTTGAAATTATATACCTAACTTAAGGAATCCAGCCATCTGCTTGGTCGAAATTGCATGCATAAACTTTAACTATTCCTGTAAAATTCCCGGTAAAATTCCAAACCCATGTAATAGTTCTAAAAAATAGTTCTAAAATGGGAAAATAGTTCAGTCTTGGTAAAATACCCATAGGTTTACATGTTAAAAAATGGTCTGAGCGATCGAGGATACCGTACGTGTGCGAAGAATTGGTCGGTAATTTCAATACAATTGAATCTCGATCGATCTTACCGACAATTTTTATCTTGCATTGTTGACATGACGAAAATAAACTTCCAAAAAAAAAAAAAAAAACAACATCTGCCGATAGATCTTGATCTAAGTTCGTGCCAATATGCATTGCAAAAGTAAAAGAAGGGCCCGTTTAATGGAGCAACCACGAAGCATCCACCACGCGAAGCCGTTTTCAATCCATTTTAATGTATATATTAGAGAAAACTGCTCAGTAAGGTAACGGAGCGCGATGGCCGAGCGGTTTAAGGCGGTGATTTTAGCTACATCACCTTTTGTACGCAAGAGATCGAATCCCATCTGCGACAAAAGTTTGTTTTATTTTTTATTTTTTATTTTTTATTTTATTTTTTTCGGCATATAAAAGTGTTAATGACTGCTTTAATATTCGAGAAATAGTTGTTTTTATACGCTCTCGGGAAGGTTACAATTGGGCTATTGCCCTCGGCACGCCTCGGGCAATAGCACAATTCTAACTTTCCCTTGAGCGTATAAAAGTAACTATTTCTCTCAAAGCAGTCATTAATACTATACTATTATATTGTAATTGACTTTGATTCTTTACTATTATCATGATTATTCTGCTTCGATGCAATAACTTATATTGTTATAGTTTATCAGTAAAGAATATACAAGAAAGGAACTATGTTATTTAGGCTATATGAAGACAAAAATAATGTCAAAAATAAACGCACTTGAACCTGAATGTGAATAGGGCAAGGACAATACTTGATATCACGTTTCTCAATATTTTTGCTTTATCAAAATGAATGAAACGCAGTTGAAAGATGGGCTACGCCAGACGATCCATTAATTTCACGTGTAGACACTAAATTCCTGCCAAAAGATAATGTGTTTACTCCCATCACGCAGTTATTAGGTACTTTTAGATTTGCGTGGACTGATACGTCTGACGTCCATTCAAGGCAGTCCATTAAAAGGACGTCGATCGTGGCAATCCACGTTGTCGTTGTGCAAATCTAAAAGTCCCTATCTAATGGCGCCGTGCATTGAGAAAAAAACACAAAGTGGTTCGGTTCCTTCCTGTCTTTTCATTTTCAGACAAGCACATGGAGCTAGTGAGAAATCACGCTTGTATTCATTGTCGTTTACAGAAAAATTGTTGCCGATCGATGACACATTTGATAATAGCGTGAAACTAGCTCCAAGGATGAATATTTTTCTAATGAAGGGTCTATGCAAACGGAGAAAGGAAAATTATCAAGACCAGTACAAAAGAAGACAGACTTCACAGGGAAAAGAAAGATGAAGAAATGAGAAACGGCCAATGTCAAGTGAAAAAAAATATGGGTAACAACAACTGCTTTTGTTTGTGTTTATAACAGCTGTTTTTGTCCGGAAACCGAGAAATAACGGAGGATTTTATCGACCTATAGATATCAAGGGTACATATTTTCATCTTCCCCACTTATAAGACCGAACGTATGGATGTTTTACTCTAGAGGCTTTTTTAGAAAGCTATCAATGGAGAAAAAAGAAAAGAAAAGAAGAAAGAAAAAAAATTCAATCCGGCTAATTTTTCTTTGCTTTCTTATGCAGGTAATTGCGTATATCCATCTACAGGGGTAATTTGGAAATCCTTGATCAGTAACGTGTTCCCCTGGGTCACCAGGGTCTTAATACCAACACAGAATCTTAATTGGCCAATTTTGAGACCCGTCTGTCAAGAGAAGTTGGAAAATAGCTTTCATTGACATCCCTAATCTGACATGTCTACACAACCAATTAAGCTATTGAGCAATTAAAAATGCATTAATTGCCACGATTACGGAGCAAGGTGATACAGTCATGTAGAAACAAACTACGTATTGCGTATACAGTCGGCCATGATAAAGGTCTACATGCACTCTTATTTATCATATTAAGAACAATTGTTGGGAACTTGAAGAAATGGGGGGGGGGGGGGCTCCATGCTCTAGAACCGTTACTGACACCTACCAGAACTTGTACGTGTCAAAATATCAATCAAGTTATTTGCCCACACTGTGAAAAGGTTGGGCAATATTTTTCCAACACTTTGCCCAACGTTGTGCCAATACTCAACCCAACCATCTATTGGGCAATATGTTACCCAGCGGTATTGGTAAACGTACTGTAAGTACCTAGCTACTTCACTCGTGCATAATTGTTTGGTATTTTGACCAAAATTTGGGCAAAGGTATGACCCTTCAACCGCCCGACCACGGTAGCCCACTTGTTGGGGAAATCTTGACCAAGCTGTTGTTCAAAATACGAAACAATTATGCACTTGTGAAGTAGGGTACTTACGTGTACGAATACTACTTGGCAAATGTTGCCCAATAGATGATTGGGTTGACTATGGGCACAACGTTGGGCAAAGTGTTGGAAAATATTGCCCAACCCTTTCACAGTGCATGTACTTTGCAGGGAATATATTTTCATTTGAATATACATTAAGTAAATTAAAATGCTTGATTTGATGTCTTGCATAATGATTGTAAATCTTTGATTGTCTCCCCGATGTAATACATTTTGATGAGACAACGTCGGTACAAGAACATAACGGAGTATTCATTTTTATTTTATTTCCTTGTAAAACGTAAGCAGGGTAACATTTCCCGTTGTCACTACGTTAGCATTCGTTACTTCGTCTAGTATAATTCGTAGAGCATATAACTTTTGCTTTTTTTCTTGTATTTGTGTTTAACATGCACTAAATTAACATGATGACAAATACTATGGACAAATCCACTCAAGTGCAATTTCACTACCCCATTTGTATATTCCATATAAATCATATTCGGATTATGCAATACGTCATTGTAATGTTCGTCCACTATACAATAGATGATATACAAGCCAATTAAAAATTCCTTAAGTTGACATTCGAAAGCGCGCTCATGATTAATGAAAATGATGTGAGAAAAACACGTTCTCAAATTACACAAAGTAATGGATTATAATAAAAATATATTTTTGTTCAATGTAATGGATTATAATAAGATATATTTTTGTTCAATGTAATGGATTATAATAAGATATATTTTGTTTAATGCAATGGATTATAATAAGATATATTTTTGTTCAATGCAATGGATTATAAAATATATTTTTGTTCAACGTAATGGAGTCTAATAATATATAATTTGTTCAATGTATCGGATTTGCACACCTCGGAGATTCGAATTGAGATGTTTCTTATCACATTAGAGCTCCCATGATTGTCATAATGTTACGAAATGGCTGTCAATTATACTAATCAAATCAAATTATACGGATTATGATGATAACCATGTGCTCTTCCTAATGAGACACGTGAAGGTGATATTAACAATGTTATTAGTTTTAATTGGTGATTCGACATATTTTGCTCATGCGAACATTTCTGAAAGCTTTATTTTTTCTATAGTATAATGTTAGAATTAGAGTTGCAATGGGGTTTGAGTTATGTTTAGGTTTAGGGTTATCACGGTTACGGTTTAAAGGTGTAAAAGTGTTGGGTCTAGGATTGAAGTAAAAAAAAAAAATGTAATTGAAAGAAAGTATCAATACGGGACGATTGTTGCAAAAGTAAGTGCCGTGTAACCAACAAATGACGTAAGATGATGAGACAAACATCCCTTCTGCCATATTGTTGCATGCACTGCAGAGATTAACTTTAGTTTTTAAGCCAAGTTCGTACATTAGGCCTTTAACTTTCATTAACATGGTGTTAACGTTACCGTGGCCACCGACATGTGAAGCCCAAAATGTCACTGTTTTCGTCCCATTCCGTACGATTTACTAAATTTCTTATGAATGAAATTAATATGGCGTGATATGGAAAATAATTCATTGATTTCAGTAATACTTTTTGTTCATCTACTAATTAAATTGTGTTAACGTAACCGATGCCATTGACATGTGAAACGCCAAATATCCACGTCGTCCTTTTTATTCCATACGATTTACTCTAGTTCTTATGAACGAAATGGATTAATAAGGCATAATCTAACAAAATAAACTATCGATTTCAGTAATACTTTTGTTCATTTCTTTATTTACAGAATTATGAACACGATCGCGATGACTTTTTGAGAAAAAAAAATCAACCTGGGGCAATTTTAAATATCTTATCAATCCCCTTTGAATTGTGCGAGCACTGCAAGGCCATTTTCGAAATGTAATCATGCAATTCGCTTTTTGACTGTTGAAATACAATGATTCGTAACAGGTGAAATTATAATTCGCATTTTGACTGTTGAAATACAATTATTCGCAGTAGGTGAATTTATTCATTCACCTGTTGCGAATGATTGTATTTCAATAGTCAGAATACGAATTGCATATTTGATTATATTACGAAAATGGCCAATTACCGTGAGTACATATTACATATTTACTTATTGAGATCGACTGCTTGTGAAGACTTTGCGATTGGGTTTGTTGTCGAACTTCTTATGGCAGGAAAAGTTAAAGGGACATGGTCGTCAGTGTGCAGTAGGTCATAATTCGCTGACACCAGACTTGGTGGAAATACCATTAATGGGTGCACAGGTCTCGCATATAATAAACCCGTAGTCCCATCAAGAAATGCCCCCTAGTCTCCCGGAGTCTTCCGATGAGGGAAATATAAGAAAATGACTTTTCGATGAGGGACACTTGAGGAAAATGCAGAGCATTGAATAAGGTACGTTGGTCATAAAAGTGATGGCTAATCCTGGTGATTGACAACACCAATTATTGCGTAAACACCCGAATGATGTTAAATTTCCCATTACATCCCACTACTCTACGTCTTTAAAACCCCTCTAAAGTATATGGAGCCCCAAATTCGCAAAATTTGAGTTTCCTGTTGTACCAAAGAGATATCTCTTTTGTTGTACACAGAAAACCTAAATTTTGTATTCTTTCATCAATATTCAACTTCAAACACATTTGTTTTGAAAATCCTGGCAGAAATGTGTCTTAAATGACATCCTCTTTCATATTATTATACAATTTAAGTGAAATTTTTCCATCAATTTTTTTCATGTCATTTCTTTAATACTCATTTTCCAATTTGGTAGTATTATGTGTGACAGCATTATACATCACATTTTAAAATACATTAAAACATATTGTTTTAAATTACAAGAAACAACAACACCATCAACAATAAAGGTTAATGAATAAATTATAAACAGATTTGTAATATGATTCTAAAGTGTTTTTTTATTAGTCAAAGTTCATTTAGAAATGTCGGTATGTATATTACTGACAATAGACAAATTGCATTTATTTTGTAATACATACAGAATCACATCATAAGATGGACAAAAGACATGATTGACAATTTCTTTCTAATGATTTACCACCTAAAGATAATGTCATGAAATGTGTGGATACAGAATACTTAAAGTAAGATGAAATGTGCAGAATTAATTAGAATCAGCTGTTAAAACAAAAATACAACTTAGGATAAAATGAGTTGAAGCATAATAAAGTGTATGTTCATCAGTAAACAATTAATTTATTTAATGTTAAGCTTTGTGGAAGGAAAAAATATAGTATTACTTAATAAGTTATTAATCTTATTCATCAGAATCCGCATATGACTTGAAATATTTTGGGGAAAAAAATGTTTTTGTTGTTGCTTGCATAAAGAGTTTTAATCTTTAAACAAAGTCCATTTAAAAAACAAAAAACAAACAGAAAAATTCCTTTTGTACGACTTGAAAAGATATACTGAAACAAAACTGTGACATTCCATCTATTATGAGGTCCATGAAAACAAGTATTTCATATATGCATACTTATTTGACTTCCATGATTGCAAGAACAAAATATGTAAAGAATTTGGACAAATATACATATATCTTATTTCGTGTGTTTTTCACAACTACATCAATAATTTAACTAACATACAGAAAAGGCAAATCAGTACCTACATGAGAAATACTTTTTTTGAATAGCAAAATGTGAGTATTTCATCACAAAATCCAACAAATTGAACATCAGAATTATACAAATGACACAAATGCAAAATTTCAAAGGAATGGTAGAAAAATATCCATGTTCATAAATGTATAACTCTTTACATGCAAAGTTTGGGTTCGTCTGAAATCAAAGAAACTTGAAAAATATTTGTTGGAATATAAACGAACGGATACATACAAGTTTAATAAAACATGCTCTGAAAATGAAAACCATTCATGTTTATTTCCATGTTGTACTTTAAGACATAAAGACATGGAAATCAAAATTCACACTGAAATTAAAACATATTTGTCTTAATACACAATTAGTTATTAATATAAAGAGGTTATAAGTTGTACATGGAAGAAGTGCATTCATAAAGTAACACAGCATTGACAGTAATATTATTCATCTTGCCTGGTCAATATCAGATACACTTTTTTTTTAATAAAAAAAAAGAATAAACATTTCTACATTCCTTAGAATTTATATATAATCTTAACACAATTGCATGCATATCTGCTCTACACTGTAGCTAAAGTACTTGTCATATATCTGTACATCTTTTTTTCATTGATCACAAAACAAAGTACACCTATCATAGCATCATATCAATAACATATTTTAGAGTTTTGATTATATCAAATAATATACTTTTTCTTCTATTAACTGGGCAAGGGATAATAACAGATTCCTACTAAAATAATCAGATTTTTAAAAAGATTTCAGTCTCGTTTCAATAATAGAGATATTCATCTACGTTGCACTGATCATGTTTAAATAAACACACTAGTTCTCAAATACTTTTCTAGAATCTACTCTTATTAAAGATTTTCTCACCTTGTTATTCTTCAAACTTTCTTTCTAGTTGTAGACCTTTTCTTATTATTTTTTTCTTCTTTACAAAAAAAAGACCAACAAGAAAATCTTTCCCCATAACCATGCATACCTACTTTTTAATGTCTTGGTACCATATTTCTAATAAGGCAAACTCCATTAAACAATTATTCCCACGTCAAAGCTAAGAGAAAGGCGATTTCCTCTTATATTCATCCATAACCTGTTCCCCACGCGATAGAAAAAGAATTATTTCTTCTGAATTTGCTAAATTGATTTATATCATATATTGTTTGTTTGGAGACAGAAAGGCTTTAAATCTCATTCTTTCAGAGTTAACGCCCTTCTGGCTCTCAACAGACACTCTCATCTACGTTCAACCCTGTTCATTCACTCAACATCAAAAATATGGAAATCTCAAGATTGTATGAAGTATTGCAATAAACAGACGGACATTTCGAAACCGATCATCAAATTCAAATACCCATCTCCATATTACCTGGTATATGAAGAAAAAAATGGAATAAAAAAGCTTGGATGACAATGATCGTAATGCCTTGGTTTAGCCATATTTGTCATTTATTCCATAATAAAAAATTGGAAAAGAGAACAGTAAGTACAATGCTGGAAATGTTGCGTAACTTTATTTGTTAGTAAAAAGTGCACCATAAACCTGTAAACATGAGTGCATTGTTAGGAGCTTCTTAAACTACACTTGAGCAGAGAGATTACCAAAGACGCCAGTAAATAATTTCGTAATACACCGCTATCGTGAAAGTGTCTTCATATGTTATCCTGGACGTATTGACGTTAAAGGTTCTTTATATTGTCCGGGCCTTGATGCGTGATTTGATCCTTAATTCCAGGCATGACGCTTGCAGTGCTCAACCATCTGTAGAGGGAGAAGGAAGAACGAACAACAAAAAGAGTAGTTGGAAATAAAATGTTACAATACGGACATATTGAGGGGTCAGTGACACAAAGACACAACTCCATTTTTAGAAAAAGTGGTTTATGTGTCACTGAGCACTTGGACCTTAAGGAGTTAAGTCTATGTTTCACTAGCCATTGACTTCAATGGGGTGTTGGGTGGAGTTAAGTCTTTGCGTTTCTTCAAAAGCCCACATTTTTCTGAACATTTCGATGTCAAATACTCATTTTAGCAAAATATGGAGTTCCGTCTTTGTGTCACTGAACCCTCAATATAGTTTATTTGGAGCCAGAAGGGCATTAACTCATATACTTTCACACACAGATAATGGCCTTCTGTCTCTGAACAGACAATATGTAGCCTCTCAAAATCATAATTTTTGGTTTCCTACTAATCCTTGAATAAACAACTTTTAATTGTGGTGTTTTCAACACAATCAATTCTTGACTATTTGGGGATAACATGCATTTCACAGCAAACCAAAATCAGAAATTATACAATTTTTTCTTGTTATCTGGAGTACCGGTATAATTTTTTTTGTTTAAAGGGTAAAAAAAATGTATCAATGAAATTGCAATCTGCCATGTGACTCCACAAAAAAATTGTCCACTTTTTATACGTTTGGTGTCAAATGATGTGCACGTCTTGAATGACACAAGGGATAAAGTCAAATGGTGATAAATGCTGGGCAGTTCGAAATACAGTCAAACCTGCTATAGCGACCGCCTGTACAAAAAGTCCATCTCTCTAGTCTCTATCATAATCACCTTCTGTGTTTCCCTCAACAAACGTTTCTAATTGAAACATATACTAAAGGAACCTGAACATAAAGGCTACCGGCCTATAAAGCCAAAAGGCCTGTCTGGAATCTCCGCAAAATGCGTAAAATTGAACAGCGTTGATTTTTTTTCTTCTCCTTTTTACTGCTTCCATTTAAAATTATTAATAAAACTTGAATTCGGCGTAAATATTCATAATTGAATGACACACGCCCTTAAGACTAAAACAACAACAACACAACTACTTTTCTTGTTTTCCCTTGAGCGGTCTTTTAGTGTAGAGAGCAAAATTTGACTGGGACAGTAATACGGTGAAACCTTTATATAAAGACTGCTCAACGGAGACAAGAAAAGTTGTCTTTATGGGCAGGTGGTCTTAATGTACAGGTTCCCTCAGTACAGGTTCCAATGAGAAACAATCTTCAAGGGTAACAAAAAATTTGGATTTCATAGACAGGTTCCTTGAATACCGGTTTCAATGAGAAACGAAATTCAAGTCAACAAAGAATGTGGTTTTCGTAAACAGGTGGTCTTTATGTACAGGATCCTCTAGTACAGGTTCCAAAGAGAAACGATCTTGAAGGGTAAAACAAAAAGGTGGTCTTTCTATACAGGTGGTTGCTAAAGCAGGTCTGACTGTAATTAAGGCACGTCTCCCATATTTGTAATTTGTATTCATTTTGTGAATAATTTTGCATGCCGCTACGGTTAGTCTCATTTTAAATGTTTAATCTTTATTAATTCAGTTGTTTTAAATGTTCATTTGTAAATCGGAAGACGCTAGACAAGCACATACCTACTCTCATCCTTCATATAAATTAATGTAAAACTTTTTTCCTCCTTATTACGTTTTCTATTTTAATTCAATCTTTGCATTTTTATATTTTGTAACGTGATATGCAGTTATTGTTCGTTGTATAATGAAATGTTCAATTTTGTCTTATTCACAAGTTTTTGGAATGTATATAGTTTGTTTGTATTTTAGAGGGCCCCAACGAAAACCAGTGTATATGCTGATTGGGCTACCCTTTTTTAAATATGTGAAATAAACAAATAAAATTAAAAAAACTTACGTTGCACTCCTTGGCGTTCTCCATGGAAGCACACCAGTAACCTGGTCCTCTAGTACACTCATGCTGACCCAGCATCCGCTTGGGAAGTCTTGGGGAGTTGTCTGGGTATGGGCAAGCCTCCAGGAGCTGTGAAGGGTAACAAGAAAAGGATGTTCAGGGGGTGTTTCACAAAGATCCTAAGTTGAACTTATCTCTTAAGTTGGACTTAAAAATTATGGAAAGCCATTAGCATCTTTGAAAATGTTTTGTAGAATTTATTTTAGAAGGCATAAAATGTTAATTCAAATCATTCATATTTTCAATTATCAAGGAGATTTCATGTTCTTGATGTGGAATTTTATGAGAAGCCTAAAATCCTTAAATTGTTGCTTTTGAATATATTTCATTTTAAGGCTACAAATGGCTCTCCATAATATTTAAGTCCAACTTTGAGTTAAGTTCAACTTAGGATCTTTGTGAAACGTCCCCCAAATTTCCTCAGAGGTGGATTCAGACATAGAACTGGAGGCACATGGCTCATTTTACGAAAGTATCGTGGTCTGGAGGATAAGTCAATGGACTATAGACAACATCCTAATGCATACTTGCCAACCTTTCAGCATTAAGACCAAAGAATAAGAATCATTCCCCCAAATAAGAATGGTTGGCAGCTATGCTAATGGGTTCAATTCCCTGGATCAATACTAAGGTTCCTTAGCAAAACATTAATATACTTTTCCCTCTCTCGACCCAGGTGAAGTACATGGGAGCTCAGATTAAGCCAAGCTCACGATAGAATTCAGCATTTTTTGTGCTTAATACAAATTAAAGAGAATACACTTATTTGTAGACTTAAACACGGAAGTGCATCCTCATTTTCAGCCCGCAGTTCAGCCGTCATTACTTGGGGCCACCAAGAATGCTTAATAATAATTACTATATTACCGATTTACTTCAGGGAAGGCCATGCACATTTCTGATTACATAAAACATAACATCATCTCTTGTTGAGTTCTTGGATGGTCCCCAGCTATGGTGGAAAAAGTACTTACGTGCTCCCAGAAACCATGGAAACAGAATCGGTCTATACAAATTCACATCGTAAAGATGCCATAGGTTATTGAAAAGGACAGACGTGATACTTACTGTGCATGAAGTGATGGGGTCAAAGAACTGAGCGATGAACTCTGTTACCAGGTCTCCGTACTGATCAACATATGAAAGGCACTGGAAAAAAAAAAAACATATTTCAATCATTAATACAGGAGCAGGGCAAATTCAGTGTTAGGCGGAGCAGTGATCACCACACCATTGTTTAGCACAAAATTGTTTGGAACCAGCAACCTTGACAACTTTGCCAGTATAATATCACACTTTGGTAAACTATGTTGGCTACTGTGCTGGTTTTGTACCACAGCCTTCACCCCCCCCCCCCCCCATTAAAAAGCAATTTCTAGAAACCGTCATAAATCTAACTTCGTTGACATGCAATAGGATTGTGCGTCATAGAATTACGATACGTTTGTACGGGATATCAGCAAACAACTTGTGACGATTTTCAAGAAACTGGTCCATGATATTTATTTCAGTAAGAGGATAAAACCCCACCTTTTTCCTGGACAAAGAACAGCTAAATTTCATTTGCTTTATCATAATTATTAGTATTAATGTGACATTCTAATTAACAGTATCTATTGCACCCTTTCTTGATTTATGTGTCATAATGGCAAACTTATTCAACTTTCTATAAAATACCCACTTCCTGTTATCCATATTGTTTCAAAGTGGTTTTTTGAAACTTTTTTCAATGAACATTACTCATTATCTAAATCGTTACTTTCAAAGTGACATTCTAAATCTGTTACAGTACCGTTGCTTTATACTCTGCGGGAAGAATGGCGCAGGTCTCGTTGACGATAGCAACCACCTCCTTAGTTACCGAGGGCTCTTGAAGTGCAATCATGAATTCACGGACAGCCGTCTGGCACAGGTCACATTCAATGGTACCTATGATTGAAAGACATTGGTAGTAATATTAAATTAACCTGACAGATGTTCCACTACAAATCAATTTTAATAATGATTAATTATAATGCAATCAAAACATGTTTGTACCAAACAAAATTCAGATGGATAGCAGTCAAAGCTGGATCTTTCCTGTTTACATGTCACGTTGAAGGAATAGTAAATGATAAATGGGAATGACAACAAGGATATATGTGCACCTAGCACAGAGGGTTAGCAAAGGAGCCCCTGTTTACATGGCTGCCGTCTTAGAGTACCCGACTGCCGAAATCTTGGAACTTGCTGGCAACGCTGCCTGCGACAAGAAATTTGCCTGTTAGCATATTCACGTTGTATCTTTAACTTATAAGATACAGAAATGTGAGCTATGCCTTGCCATTCTAGTTTGTCTATGCAGTTTTTAAAGGCAAAATTATCAAATTATGCACGCAAAGGGGTTCATAATAATGATTATAATAATGATACTGCTCGTTTATACAGTGCTTAATAAATCAAAAATGTCTCTACGCGCTTTACAGATATACTATCAAGTCGGTCATTGAACACAAGCTTGCCTGTACACACTGTATTCACATTCTCCACTCCCAGGGGAGCATTCCAGCCAGGCACTGCTTTAAAAGCGCCCACAACACTGAACAAACAACAATAACTTCTGCATCTTTCCTGGAACCCATTGAACACCTGGGAGGTGTTTTTAAAAGATCCTAAGTTGGACTTAACAATTATGGAAAGCCGTTAGCATTCATGAAAATATTTTTTAACCTTATTTTAAAAGGCAGAAAATGTTGATTCAAATCATTCATATGGTCTACTATCAAGGTGATTTCATGTTCTTAATGTGGAATTTATAAAAAGTCTAAAATACTTGAATTTTCGCTTTTGAATATAAATTATTTAAAGGCTACAAATGGCTCTCCATAATTTTTAAGGATCTTTGTGAAACACCCCCCAGGATGGAGAGAAGCAATGTCAATAGAGTGCCTTGCCAATAAATGAACATTACGGGTATAAAGTGGCCCCTTGACTCACCCTGAAGGGCCTTGAAACCAGCGCTACAGAGTTGAATGACGGTACAGATCTGGTCCGGACTCTCGGTCGTCAAGAGCTTGATCAGGATGGACTCGTACGTCTCCACAAAGCTTTCACACTCCGTCCTGACGGTAGCTGGCATGAGGGCACAAATTTCCTCTAAAGCAGTCTTTATCTCCTCCTGAATGATAATTGACGAGAAAATATATTTCAATTAATATATTAATTCATTTTTTAGGCGACAAACGGAAAAAAAAAACACAATACAACACTTGCCAATTTGTAACACATCACTCCAGGACTTCGCAAATTGTATTGGTTGCTCCTGACGTACCACATTACCGTATCTACGAAATCTTGGTTTAAACTTATAAATGAATTAGCACCTATTTGTCTGTATGAACTAACCCAGGGGAGAGGAGGGGTGGGGGTATTGGTTGCCGGTGACGTACCACATTATGTACAAAATCTCGGTTTAAACTTATAAATGGTTAATGGATTCATGAATTGGCACAAAGATATGTGCAAAACTAATCCAAGGGGGAGGGGTGGGGGTAGCAGGGCTGTGGGCAGAAGGAGGTGACAGTTTGGGCCATATCTTCAGAAATTTGTTTACCTAATTCACAAAATCTATGAAACATGAAAACTCATAATTTCATATTTCCTCTAAAGTATTCTTTACACTGTATCTCCTCCTGAATGATAATTGTCGGGAAAATATATTTAAATTGATATATTAATTCATTTCAGCCGACAAACAGAAAAACAAACACAATACGACACTTGCCAGGCTTGTGACAAGGAACACATCACTCCAGTACTTCGCAAATTGTATTGGTTGCCGTTGACGTACTACATTATGTACAAAATCTCGGTTTAAACTTATAAATGGTTAACGGACTCATGAATTGGCACAAAGATATGTGCAAAACTAATCCAAGGGGGAGGGGTGGGGGTAGCAGGGCTGTGGGCAGAAGGAGGAGGGGTTGGGCCATACCTACATGTATTTCATGAAATCTTTAAAAGCATGAAAAACTGTGTTGAGGGCAACACACGACACAGGTTTCAAAACTCAAATTCTTTCATACAAAAATCATATATGGAAGAGAGACAATATTCCAGTTTATCCTGCACCAGAACTCAACTCTATATCTTCGTTATTATTCGTTCAGAACCAGTAGGGAGTTAACTCATATATACTTTAATATGGAGTTAACGCCCTTCCAGTCCGAGGAGACATTACCATTAAGCAGAATAAGGGAGTTTACAGATAGCACATGGTACAAATGACCCCAAATATCCACAGATCTTTTGCACATGGAGAAGTTCCACTTTGAGCATCTTAGAATAATAACTGCCAAAGTCCTAGATGTGCTTCAAGAATACCTTTTGTTTGCCCTCTTGAAAAAAATACTTCCACCTGCATATCTTAGAATGTACCATTGGTGTATAAATGAATAATGTTACATAACTTTCATGAGAGCATATCCAGTATTTATCTCTGGTGGGCTTTACCATTTTGGTACAAATGACCTTTATCTGCCCATGCGCAGATTGTATCTGTAAAATCCCTGATTACTATGCACAAAATGAATTGCACTTTGGGCTCATGAAAACAAAAGGGAAACCAAAATTTACCTGAGTTGCATTCTCCTTCAGCATGGTGTCTAGTTCCGCAATTACAAATTCACAGATGGTACACTCAGCGTTTCCTAGCGATTTCTTGACCTTGAGTTTGGCTGTAGACAGAGAGAGAGAGAGAGAGGGGGGAGAGAGAGGGAGAGAGAGGGAGAAAGAGAGAGGGGGAGAGGGAGAAAGAGAGAGGGGGAGAGAGGGAGAGAGAGAGAGGGAGAGAGAGAGAGAGGGAGAGAGAGGGGGAGAGAGAGAGAGAGGGGGGAGAGAGAGGGGAATTAATTTGAAGATTTTTATTTAAAGCTTATCAACACTAGTGTGGCTAGGAGGGATTAGACCACACAGCGAGGTCATTGACAGGTGGCTATCTCATCAACTCAGCTCTCAATTAACATAAGAAAAAGAGGATCATGGGGGACCAATGGTCACCGATTAGGCATTGATTTCTCTATAGAGGGAGCAGTAGCTACAAGTAGTACAGTGGGGCTTTAAGTCCTTTAATAATCTTATCTGCATCTTCGACCTACCTCCATCACACTCTCCGATTGTGGTACAGAACGTCTTTGGATCTAGCTCTTGGGTCAGGAATGAGAGCAGAGCAGGTTCGTACTGGTCCACAAATTCTTTGCACTCGGCTGTGAGGTGAGACGGGAGTTCAGCGCAGACCTTGTCCAATACTTCCTGAATCTGTTGGGATTTGTTTTGTTATTAGTTAGAAAAAAGATGCAGAGGTCTTTATAGGTGGGTGGTCTTAACAGGTAAGTGGTCTTTATAGACAGGTTGCCATAGTACAGTGAGACCTGTATATAAAGACCGCTCAAGGGAGACAGGAAAAGTGGTCTATACATATTAGGTAGTCTTTCTTTACAGGTTTAATAGTACACATTTCAATGACAAATACTATTGAAGGAAAACAAAAGATGTGGTCTTTCTAGACAGGTGGGCTTCCCATATAAGGTCATCCCTAAAGCAGGATTCACTGTTATTTCAATGAAAATGTGTCTTTAAAAAAAAGGGGTGTATCAAATTATAGATAAATTTCTCTCTCTCTTTCTTTCTCTCTTTCTCTCTCTCTCTCTCTCTCTCTCTCAGAAACAGAACATATTGCAAAACGTAGAATTTCGAGTCAAACACATGAAATGATAACTTTTCCACCCATTATTCACACAAATTGAGGCATGAATGCCCATCAAAATCATTCTACATTGTAAAAAAAAAGGTTAATGAAACCCATATTTCTTATCAGAAACACGTTGGTACTACACTATATTTACAGTGAAATTCACGACAAGTACTGTATATCACATCTACTTGAACAAAAAGCGTTACATACCTCAGCCTCAGTGGAGTTTTCTGTAAGTAGTTTGTCAATCTCGGACATGATGTATTCGCACAAGATACAAGACTCTTGGTCTCCAATCTCCATTTTCTTCGCCAGAGCAATCTTTTTAGCTATAGTAGCTATAAAAATATAAAGTATATATGTATAAATGTTATTAAGCATTACCTCTAGTGTTTAAAGAATTTGATTTGATTTGATTTGATTTATTTACCAACAGCAATACATTTCATACAACTGATTTTACATATACAAGAAGAGAAACTATTGGTTGGTAATAGGGGCCAGATAAAAGCACGTTTGCTAGTCGAGCCCAACCCCTAAACAAACTATTATGGTAAAAATCAGTTTAAAAAAACAAGAATAATGAATTTACTATAATGAATTCAAACAAGATAATTATGCTGTTTATGGGCATGTGACTCAGTTTTCTTGGACTAAACAATGTTTTTATTTTTCAATTTCAATTAGCCCCTATAACACTTCTGCTTTTGCGAATTTGAAAAATCAAAAATTTACCGGTGCTCCTGGTAAATTTCAAATAGCGCCTAAGGCCAATCCATGATGGCTGGGACCATGAAAATCTCAGAATATGCAGTTGTGATATATAATTTCCAAACAGGAATAGCAATTCGGTCGATTGTAGTCAAGAAACAATGTAATGTAATATCAGTCTTGAGAGGGAGCTATACAACATAAAGAGTTCATTATTTACAATCTCAACACTTTTAGACTCGAAAACATTGAAAATTGTTTCTAGTTAGCAACGTTCTAAGAAGTTTTAAAACTACATTAATTTCAGAGTGGCCATCCCCTTTCACATTATATCAAGGCCTCACCTGCATCACATAGACCGAGGGCGGTGCACAGGGCTTTAGGTTCAAATTGTGAGAGTAGATACTCAACGATCCTTTCGGTGTACTCCGCAACCAGAGTATCACAATCACCCCTGACGGTTGGTGGAAGCTCATAGCACACCTTGTCTAGAACTGAACGGATCTCACTCTGAAAGAAATAGTCAAATATTGCTGGTTTATAAACAAAATAACATCACCATTAGCAGCAACAACTGAAACTGCTTCAACATTAGCTATACATTTTATAAAATCTATCCAACTGATCTTCCCGATTAATTTTTAAACAGATACTGAGATTCGATCAGGATAGTTGTTGTTCGCAAATCCTGTTCTTGTTCTTCTGCTTTTATTTTCTATTTTCCCCACTAACTCTTTTTCATTCCTTTTTAATTGTGTATAAATTATCTTTATTTTATGTTATTTGTATATTTTTCTTTGTAAATAAGCTTCAATTGTTATTGAATTGTTATGTCTTCTTTTGTATAAAGAATTCGAGAAAAAAGCCTTGCAGTTGAAGGCATATTTTTTTAAACACTGCATTGAAATAAAACACACAGGAAAAAAAAATGGAATTAGTATAACCAAAGCAGCAACAAAATACAGAGACACAAGATCTTATAGTACTACCATCAGAACAACATAACAAAAAGAACTAAATAACTGATTTTAAAAAGATTGTGGAATTAATGGAAGAAAAAGACATACACCCACACACAGGCTCCATACAACAGCAATGAAAACTACAGCAACAACAATAGAAAAAACATGTACAAAAAAAATAAAACCACAACAATAGAAATACAAAAATCAGCAATTTTATAAACAACAGATACAAAGACGACACACAAAACGATTATATATGACAATGGAAACAACTTATATCTCGATAGTTGAAACCAACAGACACAACAACAACGAACTCACCTCTGTGGAATTCTCTTTGATTTCATCTTCCAATTTACTGACCATGAATTCGCAAACCAAACATTCCGTACCGGCCTCCAAAGGTGGCATCCTAGTGTCTGACAGAGAGAGAGAGATATGACAGAGTAAGAATTGAGATATTGTAAAGTGTGAAGTAAAAAATAGGCTCAATTCTGATGGAACATGTCTGCGTAGTCCCATGTATGATCATCTGTGTCTTGCAATATTCTTTTCTTTTTCTTTAAAAAAAAAAAAAGCAACTTCATTTGATTAGAGATTTGATGATTCCAAAACCTCAATATACATGTACTCACTGTTCTTATTTACAAAAATTACCAATCTAGAAGAACTTTCAACAGTTTCTTTAATGCAATGATTCTTTATCAGCACTCAACATCTGGGGAATGTTTCACAAAGACTAAGATTGACTTTAAGTTGGACTTAATTATGGCAGGCTGTTTATGCCACTGTTTGCTCTCACCATTTACTGGTATTGATCTCTCAAGGAACGTACAAATCGCGGTCACAAATCTACAGAATTTACCTTTTTTTTATAGTTAATTATTGAAGGAGAAAATATTATCTAAAGATCATAATTGAGAGACCAATGGTGAGAGCAACCAGTGGCATGAATGGCCTGCCATAGTTAAGTCCAACTTAAAGGCGATCTTAGTCTTTGTGAAACATTCCCCTGTTCATTTTTTGCTACTCACTCAGTTGGTGCTTGCTTGCATCACAGAGTCCGACCTCTGCACAGACGGATGAGGGATCCAACTGCTCGATCAAGAGCTGGACAAGGACGTCACCGTAGATCTCCATGAAGGACAGACATTGAGTGTTGATTGGCGATGGAAGATTGCCGCACAGGAGCTTCTCCACTTCTTGTTTGATCTCCTCCTGCATATGCAATAGCAAGTAAAACATTACAAGAAGACTATCTATTAATGAATTCGAACAGTTACTAAGGTGCATGTATGATTTAAAATTTTCTATATGGATATAGAGGCATGGGGAAATCAAGTTTTGGGGCATAAAAAGGGAAATTAATGGGATTACACTATATAAAGCAATTGATAAATAGTGAGGACATGACGTCACAAACTGATAACCAAATTGGCAATTTGTGTAGTGATTTTCATAAATAGTTATAAAATATTTTTATTTCAAAAATTCATAACTTTCTTATAAGTTTGATTTGATTTGATTTGATATGGTTTATTGATTAAAAAACATTCAAATAGCAGCCAGAGGCTGAAACAAATTGAATTAACAAAAGATACATTCAAAAGCATAACATATACATATAAATGGCGATTCACAATAAATAATCAAGGATATGATCAAAGAAAAGAAGAGAAACAAGAGAAGAGATTGAAACGGATGACTAAAGGATAATTGAAGGAGAACAATCGCGTAGCAGAAGACGATAAGACAAATGTAACAGAAGATTAGAAGGACTGGTAAGATAATAACAGAAAGGGGGAGAGAGAGAGAGGGCACAGAGAAATGAGAAAGAGAAGTTATCCGATTTTGCTCAAACTTTTTTTGATCGGTTTGTCTGATTTTTCTGCTTCTATTGAAGGAAGTTTTTTTTTGGAGTGGACTAGTACTTTAACCCTATGTTAACTGGGGGGGGGGGGGGGGGGTCAAATTGATCCCCCCCCCCCCCCCCCCAGTAAAAACCCGATCTGAAATAGCCCAGTTAAAATAGGGTTAAAGAGGATGGCTCAAATCTTAAAGATCTTTCTAAACTGACCTTGGTCTTGTTTGATGATAGAATGGTTTCCAATTCTCCAACACCCATCTTACACAAGGTACAGAAAGTATCATCTGTTGGTAGCTTGGAGAGCAACTCCTTCAGGTCTGTAGAAAGAAATTCGAACAAGAATGACAGAAAAATAAATAACAGCTGATTTCATGAGACTAAAATAATGATAAATATATAAAAATTAAAAATGTATTCAAATAATAGAAAGCATGTGACCTTCCACCCCCATCCCCCCCCCCCCCCACACATACCCCTCACCTCCAGCTAACCCGACCTTAGTGTAAGTACATGTGTATACCAGTATTACATACAAAAGAGCAATGTCTCACCAAATTGTGCATAATATTACCTCCAAAATGCAATCTTTTCTCTCTTTTTTTTCTCCAATGCATATGAGAATTTTGATGTAATAAAGCCCCTAAAAATATTTGTTGGAGACCCGTTAACAAACAAGTTAATACATTCTGTAGGACCCTCACTTCACAGGTTTGGAAGCCAACATCATAGTAAGGAAGGAGTGAAGGGGGGGGGGGGATTCCAAAGCATCCTGCTAGTCTCCTAAGGAGAATACTTATTTATCTGTATTTCTGGAAATGATGAAAGATAAAATTGAGTTCTGGTCATGAGATTGCATTGTGAAAGAAGAGGTGTGGAATAGATCAGAAAAAAGTTCATCATGTAGCATGTGTACTGCATGCTATTGTATTGGTGTGTACTGCAAGGTTCTGGAGTCATCAAAATCATAATTAATCTGGCCCAGTCTTGGTAAAGCAACAAGCACTGTACACACAAAGATGTATATGGGACTACACAAACGTTGTCAGGGCTACTTACCTTGATTTCCTCATCTTTCTATGCTCATTACTCAGCCAGTATACATTTTCTACCAAAATTGTATGGCAAATGACATTTATTTGTAATCTTGAACATTCAGTGTAAGTTTTGTTTGATTCTGTGAGAATTCATTTTCTTTTTTTACCAGAACTCAAGCTTATCTTTATATCTATCTTTCCAGACCTTTTTTTTTTGTTGCATACACTCTGTATAACTTACGTTTCATTGGTTTAGAGGCCATGAGGGAAGTGCACTCCCCTATCTCCTTGCAGACATCATCTGGACTCATTTGATTGAGCAAGAGTTCAAATATCAGGGACCCATAGGTGTGGACGTAGTTCTCGCATTCCCTTTCGGCCGTTGTATCACCAAAGAGTTTGCACACCTCAGACACGGCATTTAGGACTTCTTGCTGTCAGTGGATAGAAATAATCGTAGTAAGGTGTTTTATTACTGAGACATTTTTAATTTTTTTATATTATAAAAAATTCTTCAAAATTGGTATGGATTCATTCACACGGACCAATCATAGCAAATTATATACTTCATTTATTTATTATTTTCTTATGTATTCTTTTTTAATCTCTATTCTTATTATTTTTTTTATATATTTATTTACTATTTTTTATGATCATTATCAATATTTATCATATTTTTTTTCATTTGGGGGGGGGGGGAGTGGGGGGCTGTTTCCATGAATCTTAAAAAAGTAGCTCAAAAATAATTGTATTCTCTCTCTCTTTTTTTTTTCTTCCATTTTTGGACCAATCAGGGGTTGGGATGGGGGGGGGATTTTGCTTTTGGAATAGCTTAAACATTGTGATCTATGGTTCACCATTAGCAATAAAACAAAACAAGTATGAAAGTACATGCATGACTCTGAGTAGGAGTCATAGAAGGGGGACTAGAAGGAAGACAAACCTCTGTTTTGTTGTTCTCGATGTAGGGGAGGAAAAGTCCAACGATCGTTTTGCAAAAGTCGCAATCAGTGTCCGCTACCTTTGACTTCTCCTTGTGTTGGATTGGCCGGGCTGCAACGAGTGTAGCCATGGGTTGGACTACCGGAAGAGAAATTGCTTGCCGCAGTGTCTAAATTGGGTGAAAGAGAGATATATCATTGATCGGAGTACCGGGGTATTGCTTTGTCCCATTATGGTAGTCTGGATTCTCTGCAAGGTGAGCAGCTTCCCTAAACACAACGTCCCTCCCTCCCTCTCTTTCTAATCCACCCTCCCCATCCCCCCTATCTGTCTCTCTACTCTCCCACTCTCTGACACAGGCTCTGTTGTTTAGAACCAGTAACTACGACGACAAGTATATTTGTCAGCCATACTGTCACAAAACAATCTTGAATGAATTATTTTTACATCAAATAACAAGGATCTACAAGTTTTGTAGTATAAAACAAATGATACATTTTTCCATTCGTTCATTATACCATCTATCCACCCTCGTTGAGGCTATGTGTATCTATCGCACTCAGCGTAACGGCTTTGCGCGATAGATACACACAGCTTCAACTCGAGTGTGGATAGATCGTAAAATGAACTCATGCACATGCATCATTTGTGTACTCATATATGAATAATGATTTGATAAAGAAAGAGTTACCATGAATGGAGCAGAATCACCAGGGCATACTCCAATTTCTGTACAGACTGTTGTGGGATCCTGAAGTAAAAGGATTAAACACAAAATGCTCTAGAACATTACTTCTTGTCTCATTACTATAATGAGTTGATAATCACCGTTCTCAAAACCCTTTGAATTACACTGACAATTCATATTAGTTGTTTCTCAATATTTATGCTATTTCATATACATATTTATGTAAAGTGACATAGGTTGAAAAAGAAGACCTTTGGGCTGTAGTTATTTAGTAAATCTTATTCTTTTCCCAGCACCCATATGACTCTCTTCAAACTGTAGTTGGTTTGTTTGCTTGTTTTTTCACTGTTTCCTTGATTTCGTCTTTGCTGAATAACTTTTGTTTTATTACGTCATTATTTCAAAAGAACTCTTGTAAAACATATCTTTTATTACCAGGACCAACGTCCCATTCTGGACTCATGGAAGGTTGTACAATAAAAGTGCAATACAAAATACAAAATATTACAAGATACATGTACAATAATAATAATAAACACCACCACCGCCACCACTTCTACTACTACTACTACGATGACAATGACAATTACTATTACCACTACTACTACATCTATCAATAGACTAAAGTCCCAAGGCCCTAGACCCAACAAGAAGACCTGAAACGTACCAGTTCAGCCTCAAGGTAAGCGAAGGCAGCAGGTCCATAGGCCTACTACTACTACTACTACTACTATCAATAGACTAAAGTCCCAAGTCCCAAGTCCCTAGACCCAACATGAAGACCTGAAACGTACCAGTTCAGCCTCAAGGTAAGCGAAGGCAGCAGGTCCATAGGTCTTTACCAAGAGTAAGCACTCGGCTTGTAGGCTTCCTGCCAGCTTGCATAGACCTTCCAGCTGAGCTAGGATCTCATTCTGTTTCAATAAACAAAGGTTTCAACATAAATTCAACATGAATTATACACATATAAATTTGTATGTACATGAAATGGGGTATTTGTTGGCGAGTATTCTATTGTCTATCGCCTGAATCTGATGACCGGGGTAATAATATATATATCTGTAAAGCGCTTTGAGAGGGCCTTCAGTTCTGAAAAGCACTATATAAGAACTAGCTATTATTATTGGCTGTAAAGGTGTGTCTTGTGACAATCCACAATTTTTATACATATTTAATGTATTTAGTGTATTTGTCATTGAGTATCCTTGTTGGCTGAAAAGGTGTCACATGACACTATATTAAACAATCTGTTATAGGTGCACAAGCATGCAATATAACAACATTTTTTGCATGGTACAACGTATACAACGGTAAATTAGACTATGCACCTCTTTTCCCAGCATGTATCAACTTTTTGCATCCTTTTTATAGCTAGAATTAATATTTCATCTTCATGGAATCAATGATACATGAATACAATTTATTTATTACATGGAGATGAAAATATCATGTCTCTTTACAAATGATAGTTTTTTTTTTTTAAATCTAAAATGTCTTGGACTTGCGGCTTACTTCTTTTCATGTATTCCATAGAGTCCGTACAATATGAATTATATAATAAAGATAAACATTATTAAATATACAATATTTTAGTACCTCAAAAGTCTGGTTGCTTAGGAAGGAAACAGCATCAGTTAGGAAGGTCTTGCATTCACTGCAAAGCTCGGGGTCCATCTTGGACTGAAAAAAAGAGAACGAGACAATGGAAAGGTCAATTGTATTTTACAGTGACTGAAGGTTCACATTATCCAAATTATTTGTTTTCTAAAAGCGATGTAAATACCAAAACAACAACAACAAATTGAGAGACAGAGAATACTTGTGCAAAGATAATATAAGAAAAGATCATTAAGTATGAGTTAGTATGAAGGAATCATGGAATTCAAGCCCCAATATCTTAGAAACCCAAGTAAAACTGCTGGAATATCTTAGAATGGTGTGATAGTTAATATTGTCATCTTTAATCAGAAAGGTTGCTTATCAAAATGCAATCAAGGACGACTGAGCACTGGCTACTTTAAAGAAGCCTGCCAAAGTCGCATTTGCCATGGGGAATAGAGACTGCTCGGCCAAACCCTTTGTTGTCAGTTAGTTTTATCAAAATCTTCAGCAGAGGTAAATTTGACATGAATAAGGAAAATTGCAAATGTTCAGGAGTCGCTTTCAATGTGTGCGAGTGCATTCATTTGGAATTGAAATTGTTCAACAAATCCTTGCATTAACCAACAATTTCATTCATAACTTGTGCAGAGACAAATTTGCTTCTGTTCAGCTTTCCGTGGATATATGTTATTGATCAAGGTGTCAAATTAAAGTAAGAATGAGAGTATCTTTGAGTACATCATAGGTACCGAATGCAACGATACTTAGGGTTGTAAGTCTGAGTTTCTTTTTTGTGACTCACACTCAACAAAGAGGTAGAAATAGGTAGATAAAAACAAAAAGGCAGGGAGACATGGATGATATACATGACAAGGGGCGTGTTTCACTAAGATCCTAAGTTGGCCTTAAAAATTATGGAAAGCCGTTAGCATCTTTGAACATATTTTGTAAAAGTTAGTGTAAAAGGCATAAAATGTTGATTCAAATCATTCATATACTCTATTATAAAAGAGATTTCATGTTCTTGATGTGGAATTTTTGAAAAGTCTAAAATACTTGAATTTTATACTTTTTAATATATTTTGTTTTAACGCTACAAATGGCTCTCCATAATGTTTAAGTCCAACTTAAGTCCATCTTTGTGAAACACCCCCACAAAAATAATAGATGTATTTACAAGACAACTTACAATAACAGGAGCAGAGCCAGCAGGGCACAAGCCAATCATGGTGCAGTCCGTTGTAGGATCCTGAAGGAAAAATGAAATACAAAATAAATCTTTAACCTACCATGCAGAAATCAATGAATTACAGGCACAGCGATTGTCTCTACTTTCTTAGAATAATTGAGGATAAAAAGTTGCCCGATCATAATAACATAAATTTTAAATACATACAACTATTACTTCATTCATATAGACAAAGTAAGTTCCGATTTGTCACTATTGGGAGTTCATAAATGCACTTAGTTGAACAGAATGGAATTATAAAGCTAATGAAGATAAGTATGATGATAAGAAGGGTATTGACTATAACTATAAAAATAAAATGAATGACAATAATTTAATGATAACAATGACGGTGGGATTATTGTAGAGTACATATTACACAAAGTAAGGTGTATCCGCGCTGGGAAAACAAAAGAAAGAGAAAAAGAGGAAAAATAGAGAGAGGGAAAAAAGTCAACACTGGTGGTCGCTACTTTAAAGGCATCGTTAAACAATCGTTTTAAAAAATCGCGCTTCAAAATGAGCAAGAAGTGCCTCAAAAAAGTAAAAATCTTTGAGTGACTGGTTTTACCATATTCGTTTTCCCCAATAGACTGTAGCATTATGAAAACCGTTTGGCAAATGCAAAATTTGGTTTTGATTTCCAATCATGAATATCTTGATAATCAGACAGGCGATTGGCTTGTAAAAGACATGGGGTTCCTGACTGACCTAAAGGTTTATGATTATCATTGCAGCATGAGCTAAATCCAGGATTTTGTTTCAGAATCTGAGACAAAGTTACCGGATCCCTTTAATAGACTTACCAGCTCGCTGAGAATGAGAGCAAATAGAGTAGGTCCGTAAGTCTCGATCAAAAGTTTGCATTCTGCTTCCAGGCTTCCAGCTTGTGCGCATAGGCCTTCCAATTGGGTCAGCACCTCAGTCTGTTTAATTTCAAAAAATATATTTGGAAAAAAATAATTAAATCACAGATACACCTACAAATCATTTAAATCGATATTGCAGAACTTCAATTATTATTCTTGTTCATTAACCTGATGAAAATATAGCCCACAGTAACTATAAGTAGGGCCGTCATCTATTGAATATGCATTTTATACTAACACCAAATCATATCCCGCTGGTTAAATCAAGAAAAAGCATTCCTAAAAGACTTATTACTATCAATATTACCAATAAATCAAAAATGAAATTGTAACTTGATGAAAAAAAAAACATATTATACAAACCCTGACATTTTTATTTACCTGGAAAGTTGTGTTGCCCAGCAAGGCGTCAATATCGCCCAGGAATGCCTTGCAGTCACTGCAGAACTGGGGATCAGCCGTGATCTACAGAGAGAGAGAGAGGGAGAGAGAGAGAGTGAGAGAAAGAGAGAGAGAGAAAGAGGGGTAAAATAACAATCCTGAATATTACTCACATTCTGTTAATTCTACAAATTATGAAAAACAAAAATAAGCCATTCTAAATATCAATATCAAATATTTTTAAAAGAAATAAGTTTTTGGTTTAATGTTTAAGAAAGAACCCCCCCCCCCCCTGAAAAAAACAAAAACAAGAAAACAAGAAAAGAAAACAAGTAAAAAGAAAAAAGAAAAAAACCCACATCATTTTCTTAAACGATTACAACTCACCTTAAACGTACTTGCACCTGGACACAGTTTCACCTCGGTACAGATGGCGCTTGGTTCCTACAAAGTAATGTATTGTAAAGGATGATTATTCGTTTCCACATTCAGCAATGCAATTAATTTATGCCAGATCTTAGGGGTAATCTTGAATTTTGGTACTGACTGAATAAAAGATGAAATAAAATTTATATGTGAAATAAAATGTCAGATATATTCAAATCAAATTTACTCTGCATGTTTAATTTCAAGAAAGAAATACATTCACAGTGAAACCTGTCAATGAAGACCACCCAAGGGAGACAAGAAAAGTGGTTCTTATAGGCAGGTGGTCTTTATGTACAGGATCCTTTAGTACATGTTTCAATAAGAAACCATTTTCAAGGGAAACAAAAATGGGGAGACAAGAAAAGTGGTCTTTATAGGCAGGTGGTCTTTATGTACAGGATCCTTTAGTACATGTTTCAATGAGAAACCATTTTCAAGGGAAACAAAAAATGTGGTCTTGTAGACAGGTGGTCTTTCTATACAGGTGGTCTCTAAAGCAGGTTTGACTGTATATGGAAAATGTGCTATAGAAATATATTATTATCATTATCAATCTGCTTAACGATTTGTTTACTTCAACTATCAGGTACTTACAAAGTATGCGAGCACCATGTTGACCACAATAGGGGTGTAGGTTTTAACCAGAGACTTGCATTGGAAGGAGAGTATAGATGGGAGACTTGCACAAACGACAGTATCAAGCTCCTGTATGATCAAGTTCTGCAAGTCAAACAAAGATAATGATTACATAATAACAACAACCAATAATAGTAACATTTATTTTGTGCTTAATATTAATGTTTCTAATCGTATGTTTCTAGGCGTACACGTATGATCAGATGCAGCAAGTTAAACAAAGATAATGATTATAAGTATAACAACAACAACCAATAATGGCAACTTTTTATTTTGTACTCAATATTATTGTTTCAAGCGTATGATCAAGAGCAGCAAGTTAAAGAAAGATAATGATTATAATAATAACAACAACGACCAATACTGGTAACATTTATTTTGTGCTTAATATTACTGTTTCTAAGCGCTGAAAACTATTATACTGTTTTCACACTGGCAATATTTTGCTTAACCCCGTACTATAGGTGGGGTTAAGGGGGGTCTTAGCCCCACCTATAGTACGGGGTAAGCCTATTCCACTTTCTGTTCAGACTGGCTTTTACCAAAGTGGGCTAAAGTTGGCTAACCCCACCTATAGTACGGGGTTAACTAACCCTGCAAAATAGCAGGGCTACATGTAACTCGCAATTGTGGTACTAACTCCTGCTAACCCCGCAATTGCGGTGCCAAGCAAATGAATGAGAACAGAAACGAAAAATAGTCCGGTACTACGCAATGGAGCGTATCGCAGCTGGCCAGATGCGAAGTATGTCCAATCATAACATTCACTATATCCTGGGTTAACAAATCGCAGTGAGAACAACGTGACTTTTCTTATTCCGGAATAGGCGCTAGTACGGGACTAAAAACAGCGTGTGTGAAAAGGCAAAAAAAAATAGTCTGGGGTTAAGGATAGTACGGGGCTAAGCAAAGTACGGGGTTAAGCAAAACCAGTGTGAAAAGAGTATTAGTACCCCACATTTTTAGCTAAACAAGCTTGATAAAGTGCTCTGGCATTCAAGGAATTTCTTTATACCAGGTAGGTGTTTCACAAAGCCTTTTTTCATCGACAAATGACAAAAATCAGTGACAACTCTGCTGATAACCAATCAGAAGCAAGGATTTCACTAGCATATAACAGAAACTGTCATTTGTCACTGATGACAAGTTTTGTGAAACACCCCCCAGGTACCACAAATTATTTGTCACCTTCACCAGAATGCAATCCTCTCTTTTAAAGTGCACAAATTACCTTTAAAAAATAATTTGTGTATAGCTAGAATGAATGAAAATCAACCTTAAAACTTTACCCGGTATTCTATAGCTTAAGGCTTAAAGCCTATCTGCATTAGTTTGGTCAGGAGGGGTTAGACCTCCCTGCGTGGTCACTGGCAGGTGATTATCTCATCAAATCAGCTCTCAATTATTCATAAGAAAAAGGGTACCATGGGGGACAAACAGTCACGGCTTAGGCATTGTTTGCTATATGGAGGGCGCAAGTAGCTATAAGTAGTGCAGTGGGGCTTTAAGGTGTATGAAGAAATAAAGGATAACATGAAACAAAGTTTACTGAACTCAAGTTCGACTTGGGTTCCATGTGTTCTATTCTATGCAAGCATGTCTGTGTGCATCTACTAGTCTACTCAACCAGTAGTTTTATTGCTAAATGCGACTATATTTAAATAGTTATATCTCTCATAATAATAACATCTAAAAGCCTGTATTCTGAATACAGTATAGCCACAGGGATCCCCATACACCAATAGCCAATATGTTTTGGTGATTGGTACTATAATTGGTACACTTACAATTGCTAGAGGATAGGGGCTGTGATCGAGTCTCATCTAAGACTGCTTGTAAAGCTTGGGGTGTTTCACAAAGATCTTAAGTCGAGCTTAACTCTAAGTTGGACTTGAACATTATGGAGAGCCATTTGTAGCCTTAAAATAAAATATATTCAAAAGCAAAAATTCAAGTATTTTTATAAATTCCACATCAAGAACATGAAATCTCCATGTCCATGATAATAGAAAATATGAATGATTTGAATCAACATTTTATGCCTTTTGAAATAAATTTCACAAAATATTTCCATAGATACTAACGGCTTTCCAACTAAGAGATAACTTCAACTTAGGATCTTTGTGAAACACCCCCCTTACCTGGTTAGCCTGACTGGATACATAGGTCTCTACTGCAGCAATCACGTTCTCACAGAGGGAACAAACCTCAGAATCATCCATCCTCGGCTCCTACGGAATTACAAAAAGTATCAAGAATTGAGTTTCCATTCAAATCCAATCCAAAATGTATTTGATATAGTGCTTTAAAGGTACTATGTCCCTTTTGCAGCCAACCTCAAATTCTGTAGAACTTTGCAGGTATTAGTAGAGGCTACTATGAAATCCCGTGAGATAATCGTGCCAAAATTGTTTTTTTTGGCTAACTTTGTCAATTTCGGGGTGCTGAATCTAAAAAAATTTGGTACCATTTTTTTCGACCACGTCTTGGGCAGCCATTTTGAATTTCAAAATGGCCACCATAAATAGTTGCATTTTGAGCATTATTTCATATTATAGACATCATAGAAGTTTCAAATTTCGGATAAAAAGCATGGCATTGATGTCTGATATAGAAATACAAATTTCCATGAAATTGTGCTTTGTTCCGGATAAGCCGCCATTTTGAATTTCAAAATGGCCGCCATTGTTAAGCCTATTTCAACTTGAATATCAAGTTAGAAGTGCATGGAAAGGTTAAAACTTGTTATAGTATCATCATTATGATGATATACATGCTTTAAAAGGAAATACATGCTTCGTTTAATGATGACCATTCTAATTAGCCGCCATCTTGAAATTCAAAATGGCCGCCATAATATGGTATTTCAGATTTGTAACACATATTGGGTATTGGAGCGCTCAAAATGCGAAATCAATCATTTTGGAAGCAGCATGTGATTCTAGAATCAATCACGGCAGTCAACTCCTGCTTTATATTGCGATATGTTGAATTGAATAATGACATATAATGCATGGCATAACCTGAGACTGATAAATCATGCGATTGTGATTTCAAAGACCAAATGTCTACCAAATGTACCTCCTTACAACTGTGTCTAAAATGACAACTAATCTTATGGATGTGAGTTTAGTTGCGACGTTGAAACAACAATTTCTTATAATCTATAATTTTATATTCACCTAGTCAACATCGGGGCTATTCACATCATAGTCCTGTGTATTTTCACAGTCACAACACTTGCATAGGGCTGTGCAAGGCAGATGGTTCTTCTTGCAAGAGCAATGGCTTTTGCATTCCTTCCGACATGAGCATTTGACCAATTCCATGACTGCCTTCGGCGCAGGAAGCTCTAAACACTTGGTTGCACTGAATGTTCCTTCTGGGGAAAGCTCCCATCCATTTCCATCTAGAGGGGGCAGCTTTGGTTTTGGAACTTTGTATCCCTTGTTGACTCTGGCTACGAAGTTTGCCCTCTGGATGTGTGGTGTCAAGGATCCAAGGGTTGGTGGGAGCTTTTCTGCCTCAAGATTTTTTGCCCTGAATAACTCCCATCTAAGGTCACTCACTTTTGTGGCTTTGCTGTTTCTAGCATACACCTTGCAGACAAAGTCTTCCAAGACTGATAACACACTTTCCTAGTTGAAGTCTTCTTCACCTAATGTTTGGAATGCATGGACTATGTCACATTCTGGGTCAAGGCCCAAATACTGCTTGATCCATCTGCTCTTTGAGATGCCTGCAAATTTACCACCCCAATCGGCACCACTGAATGCATGTAGACCAAGCAAACCTTTGCTTTTTTCGCTACCAACTGCAGAACATCTCTCAGCAATGTCAATTGTACGTTTCGCATTTCCCTTTCCAGTGATGAAGCAAAGGCGACCTAAGACATTGTGTGTAGAACAAAGATCCATCAGATATACAAAGACGTCAGTGTCTGGAGAATAAACATCAATATCTATGATGTTCTCTGCTGCTTTTGAGGTAGCATCCAGTACATGCAATGGGATGAGTGTATCCGCTTCCTCATGTGTGTGATGGGTGAGTTCTGGATCAAACATATCTGGCTTGTTGGAATATGTAGCATTTCCGTAGACGACAACAACGTTCTTGCTACTATTTGTATACTCATGCAGAACAGCCTTTCCAAGATATTCTGTCAGTTGCGACTTGGTGTAGTTGTGAGACAGAAGAGTCTTCAGTGAAACGAGCTTGATGTTGGTATTGTCCTTGATATCAAACTTCACTGGTTCAATACCTGCAGTCCTTTTCCCTCTAGTCTGTGCCTTGAGGGAATCATCAATGTATCTATCAAAGATAACACGTGCTTCATCGTACTGGGATGCAATTTTCCTTATGCTCCTAACAAAAGCAGCAGCAAAGTCGGAGCAGTCAACCATTGATGGGGACTTCTTTATGGCCTGGACAACTGCCATGGCATCGATGATGCACAGTTTGTCTGTTTTCTTGTCTTCTCCTGATGTCTCTATGTTGGGTGAATCTTGCTGCTCATTGATCTGGTCTTCAGACTGACTATTCGGTTCAGTTCCATAGGTTTCTATGGCATGGATGAAAGAGCTTTTGTCTGATGGGATAAGGAGAAGGCCATCTGAGGTAAATAGCGACCTAGGAATGACAGAAAATTCATATTTTCCAATTGTGTCACCCAGTGAATGTATCATTCCAGGTCTGGACTGCTGAACAACGAGAAATCTTGCAAGAAGTTGGCGATCCTCTCTTAGCTTGACGAGCTTGGCTCCAATCTTACACTGTGTCTTCTTTCTGCAAGAGCTGAATGTCTTCAGTTTGGCCTTCCTCATTGGGTCCCAGATAGATTTCTTGGCCGATGACTCAACTATTCTGTCAGATACAAATTCTTGGAACATGATCTTTCCCTTTACATCTCTTTCAAGAATGTCCTCCTTGAAAGCTTCAGGAACTTGCATGTTAGATACCATATTCATCAGCTTCATTGACCTGATTTCAAATGGATTGCCCTCGCAGTGTCGTATGATTGCTTTCTTGATTGTTGAGGAATTACTGTGCATGCGAAGAGCCACAGAACCACTGAGCTGATAGTGCTCCTTCGTAGTTTGAGAGTCATTGGTGGTACAACAGTAAGCATCTTGGAAGTCTTGAATTGAGGATGACCAATTCAGGGGCAATCATGAAAAACCTACCCAGTGCTTCTTCATTTTGTGTTATTCCAGTGATGCCGCCAGCTACTTTCACTTCCCTGATCAGCTGTTCCAATGTTTGGTCAACAAATAGGTTCGTGAATGGGATGCCAGGTTTAGTGACCATCATGAAGTCCCCTGCCTTTAGTGCATCCCAAGTAGTAGGATCAGATGTCTTCAGCGAATGCATTTGAAGAAGGTAGATTGACACCCCGGCCCCCCCCCCCCCCCCCCTCAGTGTTATTTAGGGTACGCATATGCTCGTACCCTTTTTTTGAAAGCACCCCCTATCTGAGGACTGCCAACATTTCCGAACCCCCCTTTCGCGGGCTTTTCGCGTGCTTTTCCTGCCTTGGAGACCCCCCTAAATCAGGAAAATGCTCAATGTACCCCCTAAATTCGGAATAATTTCTCAGGAGTCCAAAGAGATGAGAGAAAAAAAGAAAAACACCCCCTTTTTAAAGAAATCTCCGGGTGAAAAGTCAAATACACCCCTTTTTTTTTACAATTCTCGGGCCGGACTTTGTCGCACGAAAAGTACCCCTTTACCGGACATTTTGGCAACACGCATGCGGTCATTCCGACCTCTGAGTGGGGGGGGGGGGGGGGGGGGCCGGGATTGGCACGAGCCAAGCATACTTGTATAAGTCATGTGCAAAGTAGTACTTGACCTGCTCTTCCATGGAAGCGAGATGCAGCTCCCAGTTCCCCTGTCTGCTAGCTCGAATCACATGCAGTAAACTCTCAACTTGCTTCATGTAGTTGAGTAAGAATGTTGCCATCTCGTCATTCTCTTGGATGATTGTGGTTTGATAATGCTCTTTAATCATCGAAGTTACCTCCTCAAAAACCTGTTTAATGTCACTATCTCTCTCGTGTAACTTCTTACGAAGCTCTTCGCATTTCTTAATCATGCTGTCCAAGTGCTCATGATGTACTGATGCTTCAAACAGGAGATCATAGCACGCCATGATGTTGGTCATGTGGAATTCAATACCACGTTTGAACCACTTTCCAGTGAATATTTGGCGGATCGTTGAAGGGGAAAAGAGGCCTGCTTCAATGCTAATAGATTCCAAGCCACTGTCCTCGAGATATTTTGCAATTGCATGCAGTGATGCGAAGCAGGCATGGAGTTCACCAATTCGAAGAATCCAGTTCTTGTTCCCTGTGGAAGATTGAAGTTTGGTTGCTCTCTCATGTATCTATACACATACATCCACGTGGGTGAGAGCACATGGGGAGCACATGTCATATCAAAGATGTATGCTGGCAATCTGCATAGACACGTGATACTGCATTCTGATGTGATGCGTGTCTCATCATGTCTTATCTCTGGAATAACAGGCCTGTATTTGCACACTGAAGTTTTAATACGTCCAGTCCAAGGCATTTATTTTTCTAGTTTTTCTTTAACACCACATTCAGTAACTGTTATATGTTATAATTAAGCCCCCCCCCCCCCCCCGGGTGGAAGAAGGGGGGGGGGTGATGCGTTTAGGCATATATACGATGATCAAGATGACAGCCGGTATTCTATGTACCAGGTCCTGCAAGCTTTAAATACAGATGATCTCTCAAAATGGATGATTCTAAGGTACTTTCAAATGAATTAATATAGCAAATGTTATTCCATGGCGGCCATTTTGAATTTCAAAATGGTGGCCAATTCGAATGGTCAGTTACTGGGAGCTTGTGTTTTGTTTGAAAACACACATAGCATCAATATTATGATACTGTTACGGTACAAACCTTTCCAGGTGCTTATAACTTGAGACATGAGATAAAATAGGATTAGCAATGGCGGCCATTTTGAATTTCAAGATGGCGGCCAATCGAAATAAAGCAAAATTTTATAAAATGTGTATTGATATATCAGACATCATAAGCATACATTTTATCCCACATTTGCACCTTCTCCAATGTCTATAATATGAAATAATGGTAAAAAATGCATTTTTTTATGGTGGCCATTTTGAAATTCAAAATGGCCGCCTAAGACGTGGTCGAAAAAAATGGTACCAAAGTTTTTTGGATTCAGCACCCCCAAATTGACAAAGTTAGCCAAAAAAATCAAT